GAAGATTAAATGAGATTAATGAGGTATTAGACAGGAATCACTTGCAAAAACAGTTGACATTTGTTGAGGCCCTGTCACATAACATGTGCTCAGTAAATGCTTATTGTTACTGAACTGCCTGGAACAAAGCTAAAGGCTAAAGGACTTGCTTGACACATGTGTACTTTTAACAGGCTGGCAGGTTTTCATAGTGGTAGGAAGAGTAAGAGGGAGGCCCCTTAGAAGCTGGGTTTTAGCCTCAATACTCCCAGGCAATTAATACTAGGTTCTTCTAAGGCCTAGAGCATCCCAGCAGCCTTTAGTTTAGGTGCTGCTTATTTCCCACTTGTAGGAGCAAAGACATTGGAGTCTGTTTCATCTCCTGTGAGTTGGGAAAAGAATTTTTACTGGTCTGTGTTATGGGCTGAATTTACATGTTGAAGTCCTATCTGCCAGTGTCTCAGAATGTGGCTGCATATGGAGATAGGGTCTTTAAAGAGGTGATTAGCTCATTAGGTTGAGCCATAATCCAGTATGACTGGTGTCCTTGTAAGAAGAAGCAACCAGACACTCCTGGAGGTACCACACAGGGGAAAGCTGAGCGGTCCCGAGAGACACCATCCCTGCCAACACTTTGGTTTGCGACTTCCAGCTTCCAGAACAGTGAGACAATCCATTTCTGTTGGTTAAGCCATGTCGTGAGAGCTACTTTGTGATGACAGTCCTAGAGAATTAATAACGGTAGTGACCAAATTCTCCAGGGGTGATGTGTTTATGGAGAGAATGCGAGGCATGGTAGAGTGGGCATATAGAGAGTGATGAGCTTGAATTCAAACTCCAGCCACTGTGTATATTCTTCATTTCCTTCCTTCCTTCCTTCCTAATTTTGTCCAACAACTTAGATGAAGGGTTTGGTTGTTGTTGTTTCCCCGCCACCCCCCCAACCTTGACATATGGTACATACTCAGTGAAATATATTTATAGTTAGGATGGCATGAAATACCAATATGAGGTTTGATCAGGTATAAATTACACATATTGACTATTTGTCTTAAATAATATTTGCTATCTACAAGCTTGGGAAAAAGGAGCTCTGTTTGGATTTTAGAGGTATTGTCTTGTTGATATTCCAAGGAGTTAGGAAAGAGTGGACAATAAGGATCTCTTTGACGGTGCAATGTAACTGAAGAGAATGGTACAAATACTTTTTGTTCTGTTTCACAGAAAGGAATAGCTAGTTTGGTTCTCTTATTCGTAGGGGAAATGCAAAAAGAGGACTGTTTGTGGTGGCAGAATGGCTTGCTTGAAATAAGGGATTGTTTAATTAGATTGGTTTTTGTCTTGGCACATATAAAGGCAGAGTGCTGAGCAAAACATTCCAGGCCTGGACAGTTGCTGGAACTTCCAGTGGTGAGCTATTGGTAAATTCTGGTAGGAGGGAAAATAATTCTGGTTTGTTAGTCTTTTCTAGTTGTTAAAAATAGCATGCTTGAAAAAAAATAACATGTTTGCATCTCTTCATTAGGAGGAAGGCACTATTTTTAGCTCCTGACAAAGTTTGTTTGTTTTTTTTTTTCCCCCCTCTGTTGGAAGCATGAAAGCCAGGGAAACAGAAATCCCCAAATGTACACTTCCTGAGAAGCATATGAGAGAAGAGAGATTTAAGACTCCGTGTTAGAAAAGGGCAGCACTGTTTAATTGGGGCTGGTGAAATACAAAGTCAGATGCTTGGGCTTGTGTTTGATTTTCTTGCAGTGACTTTGAAATCTTGCAAGAGCTGTGCAACTTGAGCTCTTGCTGAGTCTGAGTTACACCAGTCTCGTTTGTTTTTAGGATCTGCCCAACAAAATGCCTGCGCTTGACTGTTTCTTTATGCAGAAGGGTCTGCACAGTATTTGAAAGGTTGAGAGCCCATTGTTGGAGCTCACCAATGAAAAGGCAGCTTGCTTCTCCGATTTGGAGACTGTAGAGAGGTAGAAAAGTAAAACCCTGCACTTTCCATTGAAGTGTACAGGGTTACAAAGCACATTCTAAACTGTGTAGGGCATGAATCTCTGTCTCTTTGCCTACCCACATTGTGACTCTTGATACTTTGCTGCCTATGAGAAATTGTTTTGCTTTAAGATGAAAATTTTACAGGTGATTTCTATGATTCTTGCCTAACTTCCTCCTATTTGTAGTTAATAACTACAACTTTGAGGATGGAGTGAGTGCATTAAGGATGGATGTGTGCATGTGTGTCTGTTGTCAGTGTGTGTTGTGAGTGTAGGGGAAATTCCACATGGATCTCATCATTCTCAATTGTAAACAAAATTTTATAAAAAATTTGCCTAGATCTTGTCATCCTACTAGAATAGCCATATTCACTTTTACATGATATCTTTGCTTGTTTCTGTAAGTCATTGCTGGTCTTTTTCTGTATGTAAAGATGCACACAATTTTGTATATTATACTTTGTGTGTGGGGCAGAATTGGGACTTGAACTCAAGGCCTACAAGTTGTATAATTAATCTTCAACATAGTGTCTAGTGAGTACCATTGCTGTATTTGGGAACAGTTTTTTTGAGAAGACTAAGGAGATCTAATCTCAAAAATGAAATAAAAATTCATTCAGAGTGGTATTTTCTAGGCCAGTATTCTATCACTAAAGCCATACCTTCAGCCATATGAGTAATATTTAATTTGAGCTATGAGGGGTCCTAACTATGTGAGAGGCTGAGATCAGGAGCATCAAAGGTTCCAGGTCAGCTTGGGCAGAAAAGTTTACAAGATTCTATCCCAACAGCAAAAAGTTGGGTGCGATGGTACACACATGTCTTTCCAGCTATGATGAGAAGTCTAAAATAGGAGGATCACGGTCCAGACATATGCTTGGACAGAAAGAGAGACCTTATCTCAAAAATAACAAGTTCAAGCCAGATGCTGGTGGCTCACATCTGTAATCCTAACTACTCAGGAAGCCAAGAGGATCGCGCTTCAAAGCCAGCCTGGGCAGGAAAGGCTGTGAACCTTTTTTTTTTTTTTTTTTTTGTCGGTCGTGGGGCTTGAACCTTTTTTTTTTTTTTTTTTTGTCGGTCGTGGGCCTGGGCGCTGTCCCTCAGCTCTTCAGCTCAAGGCCAGCGCTCTACCACTTGAGCTACAACGCCACTTCCGGTTTTTCTGGTGGTTTATTGGAGATAGGAGTCTCACGGTCTCTCCTGCCCGGGCTGGCTTTGAACCGCGATCCTCAGATCTCAGCCTCCTGAGTAGCTAGAATTACAGGCGTGAGCCACCAGCGCCCGGCTTAGGCTGTGAACCTTTTATCTCCAATAAACTACCAGAAAACTGGAAGTGGTGCTTGTAGCTCAAGTGGTAGAGTGCTGGCCTTGAGCTGAAGAGCTGAGGGACAGGGCTCAGGCCCAGAGTTCAAGCCCCATGACTGACAAAAAATAACAACAACAACAACAAAACCAAGTTCAAAAAAGGACTTAGAGGCACAGCTCATCCGTAGAGCACTTGCTTACCACGTGTAGACCCTGAGTAGATATCAGTACCACCAAAAAATTAAAATAAAACATCCTCATGACTTCTAAAGGTTACCAGATCACAGAACACTTTAACCATCTGATAAATGCCTGTTCTCTGTGGATGACAGCCTAATGTTGCCAAAATCAGGGCTGTCCCCTTTTCCTCCACACTTTGGGCTTTAAATCTTTTGCCTGATAGTTGTTCACTAGACTCAGTTTTGGTTTTTTGTGTTTTGTGTTTACTTTTTATTTCTATCATCACTGGAATCAAAATCATTGCTTTTTATTGATCAAAGTGAGTTTTATTGTGGCAAGAAAACCACTGATATGAAAGTTGAGAGTTCATTCATCTCTTCAGTCTTTTTTGTTTGTTGTTTATTAAGTGCTTTCTAAAAGTGAAACAATACTGGCATTTTCATTCATAATACGTTGCTGAGCAAAAGTTACTTTTGTGAATGGTTAAGCCAACTTCAAATGAGTTTTGAATTTGATTTGTGTAAATTTAAAGTGAAAGATAAATTGGTTTACTTGCTTTTTTTCTTTTAGTTAAATCCTCTCTCTCTGTCCCCCCTCCTGCAAATCTACCACTTAGTTTTGCCATAATCCATCCATAAATACATAATATATGCCTGAAAGATGGATTCCTGAGATTTTTTTTCCTAAGAAAAGTTGGTGTTTGCCTTGCATAGATGGCCAGACTTGTTCTTGGATGTTTGATTATGATCAGTTTGAGGGCTTGAAATCAGGGCCTGGGCACTGTCTCTAAGCTCTTTTTGCTCAAGGTTTATGTTTTACCTCTTTGAGCCACAGCTCCGCTTTCAGTTGGCTTTTGATAGGTGAATTGGAGCTAGGAGTCCCATGGGGACTTTTCTGCCCTGGCTGGCTTCTAACTTTGATCCTTAGATCTCAACCTCTTGAGTAGTTAGGATTAGAGGCATGAGCCATCAGTGCCTGGCTGTTACTGGAAGTTTTAATGGAGGACTAGATCTCTTCTTAGAAATCCTTAGTAAAACACCTTGAATCTGAAGAATATCTTGGCTTATTTGTTGGTAATTTAAAATGAGTCAGGAAACACTCCATGGTTTCATTGGAGAAACCTTTGATTTTAAGGTAAAAAGGAGGGGGGTCTCCTGCCCAACTTTGCATCCTCAGGATAATACATTCTTTTCCTTAGGGTAGTGCTGGAGACAAGGAATCTCATGGCCAGCTTAGTTTCTACATTCAGAGTTTCCAATGTGTGCACTGAGAAAAGCAGTTTAAGGGGCTACAGAAAAATGTTACATGTATCATTTCTCTGGCCATGTGAAGTTAAAGTTGTTTTATTTTACTTTTGGGATTTCATTTTATACCTCTTCCAAATGTTCTTCTGAGGCCAAAATCAAAGGCAAACTTGACCATGCATCTTGAGGTAGAAATCTGAAAAAAAAAAAAGGTTTCTAATTTAAAAAATAAATTTACACCTGGACAAAAGAGTAAAGACTCCTCTTGTCTCTTTTTCCCTCTCCCCCCTGGTAGGTTAACTTCGTGGCCTGCCAGCTCTTTGCCTTGGCTACAGCCTTCTGGTTTCGCATTTACTTACATCCTGGTAAAACCAGTCCTCAGGTCCGACATGCATTTGCCACCATTTTAGGAATTTACTTTGTCATTTTCTGCTTTGGCTGGTAAGTATGTGATTCATAATTTCTCAATGTAGACACTTGTATGATACATATATATATATATATATATATAATTTATTTATTTTTCCCTGTGTGTGGTACTGGGGCTTGAACTCAGGGTTTCATAGTCTTTGAGCCATGCCTTCAGCTCATCTGATTATTTTGGGGATAGGGTTTCTCTTTTTGGCCAGGTTGAATTGGACAGTGATCCTCCTGTTCACATATCCTGCTATATCCAGGATGACATGCATATGTCACTACAGCTTGATTTTGCTGTTGAGATAAGGTCTTGTTTATATTTTGCTCAGGCTGGCTTGGAGCTATAATCCCCCTAATCTCAGCCTCCCATAGTAGTTGAGATTCCAGGTGTGAGTCAGCACACCTGGCTTGTGGTGATATTCTTTGTTACACTAAGGTAAGAAATAGATGGTCAGATGTGTAGTGCATGTCTGTAATCCCATCACTGGGGAGGTGGTAACAGGATGATTGAAAGTTTGAGACCAACCTAAGCTACCAGAAAGTGACTGACAAAAAAAATCAAGGCTGTTAATGTAGCTCAGTAGTAGAAGACTACTTGCCTTGCCTGTACAAGGCCATGGATTCCATCCTCAGCACTGCAAAAAAAATTATTCAATAAATACAGTTATATATGTATATGGTATTGTTAAATATCATTATAGACACTTCACTGTAAAATCATAAGGCTGCTGAAGGAACTCTATTATGCATAAGAAGCTGGAACCAATGAACTATCAATGAAAGTCACTGTGGTATGGGTTTTTCTTAGAAAGATAGACTTCTGAGAGCAGTGTTGGTAGCTCTTGCTTGCAATCCTAGTTACTTATGAGAGGCTGAGATCTGGAGGACTGAACAAACCTTTAAGAAGAGATTTGCAAGCTGGGCACTAGGCTCACACCTGTAATCCTAGCTACTCAGGAGACTGAGATCTGAGGATCTCGGTTCAAAGCCAGCCTGGGCAGGAAAGTCCTTGAGACTCTTATCCCCAATAAACCACTCAGAAAACTGAAGTGTGCTGTGGCTCAAGTGGTAGAGCACTAGCCTTGAGCTAAAGTTTTGAAGGTCAGTGCTCAGGCCCATGACTGACCAAAAAAAAAAAAAAGGATTTGTAGTTGAATCAGCTGTCATGTAAAAGAAAATCCTGGTATTTATGGAAGGCTAATATTTGGTACTGTTTTAGAGCAAGAACTCTGTTATCCTATAGATAAAAAGTACAGCCATTCATTAATGACTGGGATTGGCATTGGCTGGTAGGTCCTGGGTTCCAGATGTCCCTCCAGAATCTTGATTACATACAACACTTGATTGCTTGATGTACTTTCTCTGATGTGAACAAGAGTTCACAGGTCACTTGCTTTGGAGAGGGAGGGGAGGTGGAGTAGCTAACAGGGATGTGAATATGAAATATGTTCTGGGCCCATCTTTCCCTTCCTTATGTCTTAAAGGTACTCTGTACATCTTTTTGTGCTGGTGTTACTGTGTTATGGAGTCATGGTGACTGCAAGTGTATCTAATGTTCACAGGTAAGACTCTGGAAATCAATAATGTGTAGTTATTTTTATTGTGTTTTTTTAATGGCACTGGGATTTGAAAATCAGGGCTTTTTGTGTGCTAGGCAGGAGCTGTACCACTTAAACCATGCCCCCAGCTTTTCTTATTACTTTTTTAGATAATGTCTTTTGTTTTTGTACTGGATTAGCTCTGGACTGCTACCTTCTTATCTGTACTGCCACATAACAGATTATCTAGGTGCTTGCCATCATTTTTGCTTTATTTGTTGAGATGAGTTCTTGCTAACTGTTGTCCTAACTAGCCTTGAACCACAATTTTCCTATATAGCTGAGCTTTTGGCATGAGCCACTGTGCCACGCCTTGTTGCATGATCTTTGAAAAAGTATTTCCAGGGGCAATGGATACTCTCCTCATTTTCCACAGTGAAAAGCTTCTGTAGGATATCAGAAGGAGGGATAAGAGGCTTCTAGAAGGCTTCCTGGAAAGGGTGGGCTGCAAAGCTAATCTCAAGTGAAAGAGAATCAGTTTATCAGCCCAGCTGTATTTGTGGTAGCCCCAAATTAAAGACAACTCAGATGTCTACCATAAAGGAATACTACTCAGCAAGAGAAAGGAATGAATGCTGTATATGTAGAATGACATGGCACATCTCAAAATAAAAAAAGTGCCAGCTGGAGGAAGCCATAGAGTCTGTTCTAGAGAATTCAGGCTGATTTATGGTGACAGATGATTAGGGGCTTTTGGAGGGTGAAATGGTGCAGGGACTCAAAAGAGGGGTCCCAAAACAGCCTGAGAACACTTCTGGGGATTGATGACTCATGTTCACAATCTTGAACTTGGTGATATATTAAATTATATACTTTGAATATGTACAACAAAGAGATTTACTATGATGTTTTGATCACAAATACAGAGGTAATGTAACTCTGCCTAAGGTTGCCTGCTCAGGTGGCCAGGTATTGGTTTCATATTGTCACTGTTTCCTATGAGCTTCCTGAAAACTCAGTATTGACTACCTTTTGATGTCTCTGGATAGAAATTCTGTAAAAAAAACAATGACTTTCCTTCTTTCTTTCCTTCTTTCTTTCTTTCCTTCCTTCCTTCCTTCCTTCCTTCCTTCCTTCCTTCCTTCCTTCCTTCCTTCCTTCCTTCCTTCCTTCCTTCCTTCCTTCCTTTCTTTCTTTCTTTCTTTCTTTCTTTCTGTCTTTCTTTCTTTCTTTCTTTCTTCACATTCAGACAAAAACTTAGAATGATATCTGGCTCATGTAGGACTCAGTAAATATTTATGGAATCAATGTCTAAAAGACATTTTTTTTCTTTTTCTTTTCTTCCCCTCCCCCCCCCCCCCCCCCCCCCCCACTAGTAGGACCAGAACATGGTCCTTGAGCTCTTACTCAGCTTTTTCGGATCATGTCTAGTGTTCCTCTGCTTGAGCCATGCCTTCACTCTTGCCTTTTGCCTGTTAATTTAGAGATGAAGTCTTTTTCTTCCAATGCTATCTTCAAATCTCAGTCCTCCAAGTGGCAGCCTCCTGAAGAGCTATGGTTATAGGCCATTGGTATCTGCTTAAGATACTTTTATATCTTTTTCTTTCTTTTCCCGATGGCTTTTCTGTAGCATGTACTTTTTATAGCCTCAATAGCTCTTGGACTAATAATACTACAAGTACAATATATATCCTTCTCAACAACATTAAAATTTACTTTTCAGTATATAATTTTATAGTGGCAATAAATTTCTGGGTTTCAGAGAAAAACGTTTTTGTGTGCCTTTAATCTTTATAGTCTTTTAGTGTTTAAATGAGCTCTGGAAAATCTCAATTCCAATTATCTCTCTTCTCAGTGCCTTCCTTGAAAGAATAGTATTGTTTTTTCCATGAGAGAAATAATAAGTCCGAATTTCTTTCTAATCTGGAAAGAATGAATTTTAGAAATATTTCATAAGGCCGGGTGCTTATACAGCTTTACTTTTTTTTTTGTCTAAATGTGGTGGTAAGACCATATGAGATTTCTTGGCTTTTCCACATCATTTCCTTTTTTGTTGTTGTTGATCCACTACTGGATCTTGAACTCAGGGCCTGGGTATTGTTCCTTAGTTTTTTTGCTCAAGGTTAGTACTCCACCACTTGGCCAGAGCTCTATTTCCAGCTTTTTGGTGATTAATTGGCAATAAGTCTCATGGATTTTCCTTCCTGCGCTGTCTTTGAACTGTGACACTCAGATCTCAGCCTCCTGAGTAGCTAGGATTACAGATGAGAGCTACCAGCTCTAGACCTAAATACCAATTTGAAGGCAATTAAATGATTGATAAGATCGTGGCCTCTCTGTAGTTCATTGCTAACTTCTTACTCATTGCACCTCATCTGCTCTCTCCAAATGTATGGGATGTGGACAAAGTGAAGACCCTTTTTCAGAGGCCCAAGGGCTCACATGCATACTTGTTCCAGGTTACAGCCAGGTTTCCAGCATTCCAGTTGAGTGGCTAGAGCCCGGGCAGTACTGAGAGGTTTACAGACCGCTTACAGACTTTCCCCACAGAAGTGCTCTAGTAGTGGCAGGTTGTGTTCAATGAGTAAAGGGACTATTTTTCCTTTTCCTGTTTGCTTGGAGAGCTTGCCAGTTTTGCAGAGTCAGGGAGTGGTTCACAGTTTCCGGAGGATGGACCAGGGTAGATTAAAAAAAAAATCCAAGTGATTTCTTCTTGAGTTATTTCAGGGAAAGAACACTCCAGACTAGAGCTAGGAAATCTGAAGTCTGGGCGGAGAATGCAGCTTCTCTGTACACCATGTCACCCACCTGTAAAAGTAGGGTTTTATCACAGATTCTTTTCAAGACAGGATTGCACGATTCGTTGTGATTTACCCTCCTTTCCACTAAGAGAGAGAGAGAGAGAGAGAGAGAGAGAGAGAGAGAGAGAGAGAGAGAGAGGAGATATGGGGATGGAGGAATACTGTTTGCTGCCATATGGATCAATCCCATTTCAGGACTGGCTGTTTCTTCAGGGTGCTTTTAGAAACCTCTATTTCCACCCTAAGCCCCTCTGTTGGGCAGGAGCTTCAGACATCTATCTACCACAGAGGAATCAACTGGAACCTGTGGTTTTTATCTCCCAGGACAGAAGCCTTGTGAGGATTTGTGGTGATGCACCTGTCAGCCCTGGAGTCCCTGTTTTGTGACAAGTCCTTGCACAAGTTCTTTTTTAATAATGCTCCATTCGCCAGGCACTGGTGGCTCATACCTATAATTCTAGCTACTTGGGAGGCTGAGATCTGAGGGTCATGGCTTTTCAAAGCCAGCACTTCTCCTTCAGGGATTGACACGACTCTCAGACACGTTTGAATTTCAGAGTAATTTAGATTTCATATCATTTCAAATTTTAGATTTTCAGATTAGGGTTATTCAACCCATAACATCTCCTTTCCCTTTCTCTTTCCCTTTCCCTACTCCCTTTTCCCTCCTCCCATTCCCTCTCTCTCTTCCACCCACTCCCACTTCCCACTTCCCTTTCCCTCTTCTCCCTCCCCTACTCCTTAACTCCCTCCCCTCCTCCTCTCCTTCCCTTTCTCCCTCTTTTTTCTCCCTCTTTTTTCTTTCTCCCTTTTCTTTCTTTCTCCCTTTCTTTCTTTCTTCCTTCCTTCCTGTCTTTCTTTCTTCCTTCCTTCCTGTCTTTCTTTCTTCCTTCCTTCCTGTCTTTCTTTCTTCCTTCCTTCTCTTTCTTTTTTCTTTCTCTTTCTCTTTTTCTTCCTTCTCTTTCTTTCTATCCTGGAGATAGAAGCCAGGGCCTTGCACATGATAGGCAAATGCTCTACAATTGAGCTACACTCTAGTCCTTCATCCTGTGATCTTATTTATAAGTAATGGCAGAGACCTCAAGGTTATGTAATTCCTTAGAATATATATATATATATATATATATATATATATATATATATATGTAATGTTTTATAATTCATTATCTGGCTAGATTTTTCTGCTAAATGAATTTTTTTTTGGGGGGGGGGTCCGGTCTTGGGGCCTGAACTCTGGGCCTGGGCTCTGTCCCTCAGCTCTTCAGCTCAAGGCGAGCGCTGTACCACTTGAGCCACAGCACCACTTCCGGCTTTTTTCTTTTTTTGCTTATGTGGTGCTGAGGAATCAAACCCAGGGCCTCAGGCATGCAAGGCAAGCGCTCTACCACTGAGCCACCTTCCCAGCCCCTGCTAAATGAATTTTTATTAACTCTTTCTTTACTATTCCTTGTATTGACCTAATCATCCTGAGTTGTTTTAATGTGTATATATGAATTTCAATATAACTTAGCATTTTTCTTCCATGTTTTATGCTACATGTTAAAAGTAATGCCTTCTGAAGTTATGTCTGTCTCTGCTGGGCTCCTGGATCATTGGAAATGATTCCAGTGATTTGTTTTAGTTCATTTCCACTAAAAGTTGCTGACCCCTTCCAGCGTGTCACACCGAGGGCTGGGATATTCAAGGTTGTAGTATTGAGGAAACAGACACCCACACAGACATTTTAATATTGTAATTTCACAGGTTAGCATGCAGTACTAGAAAAATACAGGCATGCAGCCATGAATCATGCTGAGGTCAGGGAGCAGGATATGGGGGTGGGATGGCTGGAGTGAGAACAAGCCAAATGACCATGAGAACATGACATGTTGGCCTGAACAGGGCCTGATAGGCAGTTCTCTGATGAGCTGTAGGATGGAGAAAGGAATTGCAGGCCAAGAAAGACATCTGGTCAGATCGGACTTTGTGACCAATAGGTGCAGAGAGGAAGAGAGAGGAAGACTGTAACGTTGATTGAAGAAAGTGAACCAGTCATCTGTGTTTTGGATTTCAGGTACTCCTTTTGTGTAGCAATGGGATACCTTACGATATGCCACATCAGCCGAATATACATCTTCCACTATGGAATTCTCACTACCGATTTTTCTGGGTGAGTACCTTAATTTGAAGGTGTGGGGGGGGGGGGAGGGGAATGAGACTGTGGTGATTGGATTGCTGACTTTGGCTTAGTCCCTAAGGATCTGTTAACATCAAGGATGCATTTAAGGATCGTCGTGGCTCGTTAAATCTACTTGGAAGGACTGTGCTAATGAGATTGAAGTTGAAAATGTGGCTGCTCTGTAGGACTATTAGCTCTGCTACATTTTGTAAGCAGGGGTCACAAGCCACAGCCCAGGGGCTGTATTCTTTCTCCCTTTCTACCCTCTTTTAAAAGTTTTATTGGAACACAACCAGGCACTTATTGATGTGTTATTGCTTGTGGCTGTTTTTGTACTTCAGCGACAGAGTCAAGTAGTTCCATCTAGCCTGAAAAGCCTAAAATATTTACTATTTAGTTGTTTTAACCTAAAAAGTTTGCCGTGTCTATTCAGTGGTGCGTGGTGTAGGCTTGATGTTCATCTTTTACTAGTTAAGGATGCAGAAATTCTTTCATTATCGCTGGGTGCCAGTGGCTCAGGTCTGTAATCCTAGTTACTCAGGAGGCTGAGATCTAAGGATTGTGGTTCAAAGCTAGCCTGGGCAGGAAAGTCCATGAGACTCTTATCTCCAAATAACCACTAGAAAACTGGAAGTGGCACTGTGGCTCAAAGTGGTGGAGCACCAGCCTTGAGCCAAAGAGCTCAGGGACAGTCCTCTGAGTTTAAGCCCCATGACTGACAAAAAAATCTTCCATTATCTGATAAATAGTTACTGCGATGACCCTTTTAGTGTCTTCTGATGTTCATCTCTATTCTCAGCTCCCTATGATCTCTGGCAACAACTAGGGTAATGTCCACCATATAACTTGTGAGCATTTTGTCCATCTCTTCCTGGCAGGACCAGACCTCTCTTGATAGGTCAGCTGGTTGAGGCTATGGACGGATCAATGACAGTTCTATAGTTAGCTGAGTTTAGCTCAAAAATAGTGTTTCGTGACTCTTGAGGAAGATAGGCTAAAGCAGAGCTGTTCCTGCGACATGGACCTTATTACCACACACCTTCCTAGAAATAAATTCCCATATCTGCAGGCATCCCCAGGTCTACTCCTTTCCCCTCCATTTGAATCACAACTCATCTGGTGACTGGTTGGAGAACAGGCACTGAATGAAGGGGTCACAGCTTTCCAAAGTGTTGTGTTACACATCAAATAAAGGTCAGAACTCCCCATAATGTTTAACAGTAAGCTTTCAGGTTTTGGTTTCAATCACCCCCCATCTCTGGAACTGAGAATAGTTCTTGCAACTTAGTCTGTGTTGAACAAATGAATGAATTGACTTCTCTCACGTTTACTAGTGTTTCTAGGAGACTCGTGATTTGACAATAGCTATATTGGTTGTGATACTGCACAAGCATTTTTTTTACCTTCCTCACGAAGGACACTGTCTTCTGCTTCTCATTTTATCATATTGTCTTTTAAGGGCAGGATTGTCTACAACAATGTTTGAGTCCTCAGTGTTCAAGGCACAACGTCATAGGCCAGGGATGCTGTGCATTCTAGTCAAGACCTCTAGTCTCTAGAACAGCGAGAGAGAAGATTCATTTGTTGGCTAGGTATGGTGATTCAAGCGTATAGTCATAGCTACTTGGGAGATAGGGATCAGGAAGATTGGAGTTTGAGGCCAGGCTGGGTTAAAAAATTCATGAGATTCCCCCATCTCAACAAATAAAAAGCTGTTTCAGCTCTGTGGGAAGTGTGAATAAAAGCATTATGATTCAGGTCACCCTGGACATAAATATGAGAACCTATATGAAAAACAGCAAAAACAAAAAGTGTCCAGGGCGTGGCTGAAGCAGGAGAGCACCTGCCTAGCATAGATAAGATTCCAGTTCAAATCCCAGTACCACTTCCCCAGAACATATTAATAATTATATTATAAATTAAATATACAACTCATGGGAGGGAGGGAATGGGAGAGAATGAAGGAAAGATGACACTGTACAAAAGGAAATGTACTCATTACCTGACATATGTCAATGGAACCCCTCTGTCCATCACGTTTACAATAACAATACATTTAACAAAAAGAAAAGAAAATATTTGTGCTGGGCACTGGTGGCTCAGGCCTGTATCCCAGCTACTCAGGAGGCTGAGATCTGAGGATCGCGGTTCAAAGCCAGCCTGGTCAGGAAAGTCCGTGAGACTCTTATCTCCAATTAACCAACAGAAAACAGAAAAAAATTCTATCTATCTATGTATCTATCTATCTATCTATCTATGTATGTATCTTTTTTTGTGAGAAGCCACTCGGCTTGTAATTTGCCATAGCAGCTCAAAGAAATTCATACACATCTGTCCCATTTGGAGATTAACGACTGTTTCTTGATTCTGCTCCCATGGGAGAAGAGCACCTCTATCGTTTCCATTTTCTGGCTGTTCTTGTGACTCCTCCTTTTCCCTTAGTTTTATTAAAACCATAAATTCAGCTGTGCATGTTGGGTTACACCTGTAATCCCAGCACTCAAGAGGCTGAAGCAGGCAGATTATGAGTTTGAGGCCAGCCTGCTTACATAATAAGACTCTATTAAAAAATTAAAAAGATGTAGTTTTTGCAGTGGTTTTAGTATAGCCAAAATTGTGGAAAGTTACCAGAAGAAAAAAAAAAAAAGAGCATTTAGGAATAACAGGCCTATGTTTGTATGGTGTGGTGGCTTGGGGTCTGCCGGCAGGGCAGGAGGATAGAAATCAGTTCCTATCAACTTCACTTTCAACAGCAGTTTTGAGACATGTCCTCAAGTGATGTTGATTCTGTGTCATTTTGTTTGGATAACCTTGGATGAAGAAACCTCTGAGGAAACTGCAGAGTGTTTGAAAATAGCGGGGACATTGTTGTTGGGGAACAAATAAAAGAACACGAGAAACGCACACGATTATGTCTCCTGATTGTTCTCCCAGGATATGGTGACTTTTTCTACAGATCATTGTGAAGCAACATCATTTTCCCTACCACAACCGCTGCACAAGGGCTCACTGGAATGCATTTATGTTCTTTGATAATGCCAGGCCACATAAATGGAGAGGTACATATAATCCACCCTCCCTCAAGTTGACCAGATGTTTTACATCACCAATTTGTCAATCACAAGACATTGGATCTTGATCCATGTCTGTTCTCATTACTAACATGCAAGCCACAAGTGACCTTGCAGAATGGAATTGATGTCACCTGAGTTATTTCAGTCCAAATAGCATGCTTAGGGGTTTATCAAGAGATGAAGTTGTGTTTTGAAGTTGAACCCTGTGTTGCACAGCTGCGGCTGCTTTTCTATTGTGCGCCTGTGGGCAAAGTTCAGTGTTGTTCACACTTTGTTGCGCTACACCTTTTAAATTGTGACCCTCAAATCTCAGCCTTCTGAATAGCTAGGATTACCACCAGTGCCCAGCTTCATGATGTGTTTAGAAGAGCACAGATGGTGATTGCATGGGATTGGATGCCATTAGTGTTTGTGTCAAAGAACCTATAGAGATGTTTTTAATTTGGGAGAACACATAAACTTGTGCAGAAGTTTATTCTTGAAATTTGAAATTTTGTGTAGCAGTCTAAAAGTGATCAAATCTTTCATAAGCTGGACTGGCCTTCATGGTAGAGGGGGTACACAAGATGTATCTTCACTAATACTGCCAATATTCTTTATATTCTTTATAGATTAACACGTGGTATGCTTTTATTCTGTGAATGTGGGGTGGGAAAAGCACTGGAACAGTTGCTGTTCTCCTGGAGGGAGGCTAAACAATTGTAATAAAGCTAATCCTTGATTCCTTTTAGGTTTGTTATAGTGAGCTGAATTTTCTTTTTTCCATCACAGATGGGTATAATTTGAGTTTCCTTTTGAGGGCAGCAGCAAGAATTCTTTCTTTAGCCAGATACCCTCCCCTCATTTTGGCAATTGTGGTCACCCAATTTTGGAAAGCATTATGAACTGAAAACTCTTTCACAGTGCCTGTGGAAATATAAATTGGTATGATCTTTTTGGAAAGCAATTTTGCCATAAATCTCAAGTAACATTCCTCCCCCTCCCCCTCCTCCTCCTCCTCCCCCCCACTTCTCCTCCTTCCTTTGTCAATCATGGGGCTTGAACTCTGGGCCTGGGCACTATTCCTCAGCTCTTCAACTCAAGGCTAGCACTCTATCACTTGAGCCACAGCGCCACTTCTGGTTTTCTGGTGGTTTATTGGAGATAAGAGTCTCACGGACTTTCTTGCCCATGCTGGCTTTGAATCTTGATCCTCTGATCTCAGCCTCCTGAGTAGCTGAGTAGCCCAGTACTAGGCTGCAACATTGTTTTATAGTTTATATCCCTTAATAGGCTAGATTAGTAGGAGTTGGATTATCAAAGGAAATAAAATTTATTCACAAGAATGTTTGGCTCTTGACACTAACAGTGAAAAACTGGGAACACCTTAACCAGTCTAAAAGAGGTGAGTGATTAATACTTCTCTTGAAAATGGAGTTTTTAAAGACAATAAAAGCCGTAGACATACTCATGTGACAAAATTTCATTAAAAAAAATAGAAAAGGTGGGGGAAGCTGGGTACCAGTGGCTCACGCCTGTGATCCTAGCTACTCAGGAGGCTAAGATCTAAGGATCACAGTTCAAAGCTAACCTGGGCAGGAAAGTCCATGAGACTCTTTTTTTGGTACTTTTTTACTGTAAAAATACTGTACAGAGGGGGTACAGTTATATGAGCAAGGTAATGGGTACATTTCTTGTTGAGTATTGTTGCCTCCTCCTTTGTTTTTCCCCTACCATCCCTTCCCTCCCACCTCCACAACTACCCCCCCCCCCACTGCCTGCCAAAGTTGTAAAGTTTGTTTTCCACATACTATCTTGTACAGTTCACTGCTACAATGGGTCAACCTGTATCCTTATTTACTGTGAGACTCTTATCTCCAATTAACAACCAGAAAACTGGAAGTGATGCTGTGGCTCAAGTGGTAGAGTACTTGCCTTGAGCTGAAGAGCTGAGGGACAGCACTCAAGCCCAGAGTTCAAGCCCCATGACTGACAAAAAAAGAAAAAGAAAAGAAAAAGAAAGAAAGAAAAGAAGAGAAAAAGAGGAGGAGGGAATAATGAAAACATGAAGACAGAGGTTCTATTAAGGAGGGCAATCGTTGGTGGCTTTAATTTTATCTTACTTACATAACTATCCTATCAAGATAAATGATCCTGCAATGTTCTATAAAGGTATGAGCGGGGGTGAGAAGGTGGCTTAGTGGTAGAGTGTTTGTCTTGCATGCGTGAGGCCCTGGGTTTGATTCCTCTGCACCACATAAACAGAAAAAGCTAGAAGTAGCGCTGTGGCTCAAGTAGTAGAGTGCTAGCCTTGAGCACAAGCAGCTCAGGGACAGTGCACAGGCCCTGAGTTCAAACCTGAGGACTGGCAAAAAAAAAAAAAAAAAAAAAAGCATTATGGAGGTTCCTTAAAAGACTAAAAATAGAGCTTCCCTATGAACCAGCAATTGCCCCTTGGGCATTTATTCAATAAACCGCAACAAAGGCTAAAGCTACCAGCACAATCATGTTCTGAACTCTGGGCCTGGGTGCTGTCCCTCAGCTCTTCAGCTCAAGGCTAGCACTCTACCACTTGAGCCACAGCGCCACTTCTGGCTTTTTTCTTTTTGCTTATGTGGTGTTGAGGAATCAAACCCAGGGCCTTATACATGCAAGGTAAGCGCTCTACCACTGAGCCACCTTCCCAGCCCCGACACAATCATGTTCTTGCAACATTGTTTACCCTAGCCAATATATGGAATCAACTCAGATGATCCTCAATGGATGAATAGATCAAGAAAACGTTGTCTATATACATGGTGGAATTCTACTCATCCATCAGAAAGAATGATATTGTGCCGTTTGTAAGGACATGGAAAGACCTGGAAAAAATTATATTAAGCAAAGTAAACCAGAGCCAAAGAAACATGGATAGGTTGCATGGTAACTAGAATGTACCTATAAATCTACAAATAAACACACTGAATGATTAATATATATATACTTACATATACATACATATACACACTGGGACATGATAAATTATATAAGACTCTAGACATTCACACACTGAAGCCAAAGGAGGATATGCAAAGGAGTGGTTGACAAAGGCCCAAAGTTATCTGCATACGATCATATAAAATAATATTTTAGGAAGTGAACTCTAAGAAAAGGAAACAAGAGGCATTTTTTGTTGCTATCATTGCTGTTTCTGTTTTCTTTCCCTTTTGTCTTAAAATGTTTGTTAGTTTGTTAGTTTTTGGGGGAGTAAGGAAGACATAGAAATGGAGGGACAAAGGGTGAACAAATGCAGCAGTGGTACTCACAAGACACTGCGGAAAATGAACTATACATCTTGCAGGTGGAGACATGAGGGAAAAACTGGAAGAGAACGAGGGAAGCAGAGACATGGTTCAAAAAGAGTTGTACTCAGTACCTGATTCATGTAACTGTAACCCCTCTGTATATCAACTCTACAATAACAATTAAAGAAAAAACAAAAGACCTCTCCATGGACACTGGGCACTGGATTGGGTGCCTCCCAAACCAGTACTTCTCACGCTTTAATATGAGTTCGCACGTCCTGCAACCTTGTTTGAATGATTCTCATCTTCCAGTCTCACATGGAGTCCTAGACTGTGCATTTCTGACATGCTCCAAGTGACGCTAATGCCACTGGTACTGATCCTGGGCCCTTCTTTAGTGACAGCACAAGAGAGAATGTCAGCTGTCATTCTGCTGTCCAGTGGTGTGGTATTTGTTTTATTTAAGAGCATTTTTGAAGGGAAACAAACATGGGATGTTTTGAATTCCATATTTTTATATTTCTCAAGGGAATAAAAGTGGAGTATTTTGATTTCCCTAGTTTTGTATTTTGTTTAATTAAAACTTCAGGTAGACAACCACGTAATGAAATAGTACAAAGTTTCTTCCCATGGCATTAAATTTTTTTTTCTCCTTTCCATTTTTCGGTCCTGCTTTTAGGCCTCTGATGATTGTCACTCAGAAGATCACATCGTTGGCTTTTCAAGTTCATGATGGTAAGAAAAATGAGCTTCCTTTTTGTTCCTAGATGGAGCCTGGAATTCAAAGCTCTTCTTGTAATACTTTGTGCACTGAGCACCTTAGACAAACGCTAGAAGATCTGACTTTATTATCTTGTTCAAAATGTCTGAGTCTCTTCAATCATGGCCTTGTACTCTCACAGTGATTACTTACCATTTCCCCTGGTGAATCTGCAGTCTCAATTTATTGAAGTACTTATTCCAAAAACAATGATTTTTCCGTTTATCATTACTAAAAGCTAACTAAAAGCTAACTTGGGATGTTCTTTGACCTTCACTTCCAAATGTCTTAAGGAAATAGCATCCTTTTTGCTTTGGTGTACTCTCTATAAACTGTTCCAGCCTATAAAAAGTCAAAACAGCACTGATTGTTATTGTTGTTGTTGTTGTTGTTTTTTGTGTGTATGTGTGTCTTGAACTCAGGGCCTGGGCACTGTCCCTGAGATGATGATGATGATGATGATGATAATGATGATGATGATGATTTTGTTTAAGCCTGGGACTCAAAGTCAATATCTGATGTTTTTGCTCATTAGCTGGTACTCTACCACTTGAGCCACAGCTCCACTTCTGGCTTTTTTTGGGGGTGATTAATTGGAGATAAGAGTCCCACTGACTTTCCTGCCCAGGCTGGATTTGAATCGTATTCCTCAGATCTCGGCCTCCTGAGAAGCTAGGATTACACCAGTGCCTGGCCTTAGTTTTTTCCATGTTTTTTTTTATTGTTGTTTATTTTTAAGAAAATTATTTCACAAGATTAGCCTGATTCTAGAAAAAGTTGTGAGAAGGATGAATCTTCCCAACACTATCTTCGCTTAGGCTCTGCCCAGTAATGGCCAGGACATGTGAATCACCTGTACAAGTTACATTTCTGGGAGAGGAGGAAGAGTATCTGAGCTGGGTGGAGAGGTTTCACTATGGCTGTAAGAGATGCCAGATGGAGTTAGACAAAGTGTGTTGTGTAGATTTGTGCTGGTCCAGAGAGTGCTTTTGGCTTCAGAGATGTCTTTATATGTTGACAGGTTGAGAAAATTTATCTCTGTTTTTACTCAAAGCTTGGGAACCAATTACATTTCATCCAACCAGGGTATCTGGTTCATACTGGGAGTGAGAGTTGTTATGTAGGTACCTGTGTAATTTCCTAGCAAGGATATGTCTTTTTAGGGTAACCAGGCCCAGTAATGAGAGGTACCCTTAAGATGTGAGGTTTTTCTATGCCAGTCAGGATCCCAGGTGAACTGGTTGAGCTGTTCAACTACTTACCCTGTTTATACCTGAAAAATTAAGCTGAAATCAGCTTAATTCCTAAGATCAAGATGGCCAGCTTTGTACTATTTGAGACCTTTGAATGGATTTTCTTTTCTTTACTCCTTCCTTCCTTCCTTCTTTACCTCCTTCCTTGCTCCCTCCCTCCCTCCCTCCCTCCCTCCCTCCCTCCCTCCCTTCCTTCCTTCCTTCCTTCTTTCCTTCCTTTTCTCCTTCCTTTCTTTTTCTGGTGGTGGTAATACTGGGATTTGAACTCAGGGCCTCATGTTTGCTCAGCAAGTGCTGTAGCACATAAGGAACATCTCCATCTTTCTTTGTTTTAGCTTTTTTTTTTTTTTTCTGGTTGTGGGGCCTGAATTCTGGACCTGGGTGCTGTCCTTCAGCTCTTCAGCTCAAGGCTAGTGCTCTACCACTTAAGCCACAGCGCCACTTCCAGCTTTTTCTGCTTATGTGGTGCTGAGGAATCAAACCCAGGGCCCCATGCATGTAAGGCAAGCACTCTACCACTGAGCCACCTTGTGTTTTTTTCCTTGTATAGACTTGGACTGAGATCCTCCTCCTTTACTCCTACTGCATCGCTGGGATCCAGGTGGACTCCAGCACAACTGGCATGTTTGTTGAGATAGGGTCTCACTAACGTTTTGCTCAGGGTTGCTCTGAAATCCCATTCTCCCTAATTCCAGCCTATTGAGTAGCTAGAATTACAAGCATGAGCCATTTCATCTGGCCACTTAAGAAAACAAACAAACAAAAACCCTAACTTTGGGCCAAAATGTATTTTTAAAAGTTTTTTCAGTGTTACATATTTCCTGGGGCAACTCTTACATACAGAAAAGGATTTATTTCCTTTTCTGTTTCTTGCATGTGAAAGAAACTCCATGCTTCTCTAAGGTGTATTTTTAAATGCTGTATTTATTTAGTAGTTTATCACTTTTATTATTTTATTTATTTATTTTTTTTGCCAGTTGTGGGGCTTGAACTCTGGGCCTGGGTTCTGACCCTGAGCTTTTTCCCTAAAGGCTAGAGCTCTACCACTTTGAGCTACAGAGCTTCTTCTGGTTTTCTGGTGGTTTATTGGAAATAAGGGTCTCCTCGGCTTTCCTGTCTCAGCAGGCTTCGAACCATGATCCTCAGATTTCAGCCTCCTGAGTAGCTAGGATTACATGGACGTTAGACCACAAATATAAGCTTCATTTGAAAACATATACAGAGCCCGATACATACTCCACAATCAAAATGACTAAAGTATGGTATATGAAGAGATGGAGTCCTGTGGTTTAACTCCTCTAAACAATTAACAGACAGCTTAACAAAATGAATCTTTGGCACATCTTTTATTTTTTTGTAAAGGTGATGTACAGAGAGATTACAGTTCCATGAGTCAGATAATAAGAGCATTTCTTTTTGAACAGAAGGCACTTTTTCCTTTTTTTTTGGTCAGTTATAGGGCTTGAGCTGGGCAGTATCCCTGAGCTCTTTTGCTCAAGGCCGTCTCTCTACCACTTTGAGCCACAGGGCCACTTCCAGTTTTTAAGTGATTAATTGGAGATAAGAGTCTCAGGGGGACCTTTCTTCCTGGGCTGGCTTCAGATTGTGATCCTCAGATCTCAGCCTCCTGAATAGCTAGGATTACAGGCTTGAGCCACCAGCAACTGGCTGAAAGTCCTTATTTCTTTTCCTATTATATCCCATACCACTCCTCTGAGCTGGTAGTAGGTGGTGCACAGGATACCATCTGGAGGGGGGTGGGGGCATGTAAACTGGTGCAGCCCGCAGAAGGCAGGCTTATTTTTGTGCAAAAGCCATGAGGTGATCATGCTCAGTGGTAAGAAATTTCTAGATGAAGGGGAGAAGGAGGAATTCTTTGAAGTCCACACCATGCAATGCAAATTAGATAGCAGTAATCTTTAAATGCTCCATTTTCAAGGACCCACTAGAGACATTCTCCACCCGTGCTCATGGATAGCTCTTTGATCCAGAGCATCTCCCTCTGGTGTTTGGGTTTGAATCTAGGGCCATATGCATGCTGAGCTCGCTCCATCACAGAGCAGTACTCCAGCCTTTCCTCCCCAGCATATTTAAAAAAAAAAACATGAAAGCCAGAGGTTTTTTATGATTTATGAAGGAAAAATAATTGACCTTTTGTCCAAATGAGCTTGGTAAGGTCTTTGAGCCTCAGTGATCTACTTGATTCCAAATATCCTATTTCTCATTTTTTTTTCTTTCTGTCTCATAGGATTAGGTCGAAGAGCTGAAGATCTCTCTGCTGAGCAACATCGACTTGCCATAAAGTAAGTTAGCAATGCATGCTCAAGTTTCTTCACAAGTCAGAATCTAGAGATTTTCCTCATCTTTTTACTATCATATATGAATCCTATTATATGGATATGGTATAGTTTATGTAATGAATTGGTTGTTGGTGGACATTTGGACTGTCCACTGATTCTTGGCTTTGCTTCTAGGCCATTTTACACATGTTTGGATCTAGCTGCAGGACACAGATTCTCAAAACTGGGATTGCTAGGTCAACAAGGGATCTGTGATTTTCTTAGTTCTGTTAGGTTCTCCTTCACCAGGTTTGGTTTCTATATACAATTTATTCTGGAGAGCATGACTCTGGGACCTTCAATAAACAGATGATTATTAATACATGCCCTAAAGCATGGAAAAGAGAGGAAGCAAGGCATAGAGATGGATGTAGCGCTGGGAGCTAGAGTAACTCTGAAAGTGGGTTTGGGCCCCTGTAGATATACTATGGTATTGAAGAGGAAGAAGAGGTTCCTGAAAGAGGAGAGCAATGGATGTGGAAATGAAGATCCTACGTTGGTGGCTCACTGCAGAGAGCCCAGAAGCCATCATGAGGACGGTCCCTGGTGGAGAGAAAGAGGGAAGTAGGAATCAGTGAGCAGAGTCTGAGATAGTGGAAGATGTCTTCCTCATTCTTCCATGAAGGAATGGAGACTTGGAAGCAGAGGAGAAGATTCTAATGAGCCTAATCCTTTGTTAAGCAATAAGGGGGGAGGGTGCAGCTGGGACAGGGCACATTCCAGTAACAGGCAAGAAATAGCATTTCCAGAAGTCTTTCCCCCAATTACATCCTGTTGGAATTAACTGGCCTTCCAAAGGCCATTCATTCATTGAAGCAACAAGCAGAACCGTTCTCTCCAGGTTGTCTTTTCCTGCCACTGGTTTGGTGTGTTGTTTAGGACCTTGTGCCTGGATGCCAAAGCAGATGCTGGCTGTTATCAAGCTAGTTTGGCCTGTTTCCTTTCAAAGTGGAATTTGGTTCCACCCATTTTTTGTCTTGTGTTTATTTTGGCGTTTGAGGAAGGAGTTTCCTCACTTCAAAGCATCTTGATCAGCCTGGTTTCAGTCTATTACATTCGTTGTTTTGGGCTGTAGACAGATAAAGGTGATGGGAAAGCTTTCCTGTTCTCAGTTGTTTGGAGTGCTAGTAATTCTAGCCTGAGGGATTTACAGCCAGGGTCACCAGCAGAGGGCACTGTGGAGTTCTGTGCCAACTCTGACTGCCTGGCTCATTACCTTTTCCTGTCTGCAAGATTTCTCTCTCTTAGGTGGAGTTTACAGAAAACACAGTGAAGAAAGATCTTATCACTTAGTAATTTACAGAGATTACCATGTTTATGGTTTTCACATTTGTACATTTTGAACAAATAGGAAAAGAGTAGTTTTTGCCTCTGTGTGTGTGTGTGTGTGTGTGTGTGTGTGTGTGTGTGTGTGTGTGTGTGTGTGTATGTTTGTGTGTGTGCTAGTTCTAGGGCTTAAATTCAAGGTCTGGGCCCTCACTATCCCTTCGCTTTTTCACTCAAGGTTAGTGCTTTGCCACTTGAGCCACAGATACACTTCAGGCTTTTTGGTGGTTCATTGGACATGAGAGTCTCACTGAAGACTTTCCTGCCCCTGCTGGCTTTGAACCGCGATTCTCAATTGTAGCCTCTTGAGTCGCTAGGATTACAGGGGTGACACTGTTGCCTTGTGCAGAGTATTCATCTTTCAGAGTCTTCTTATTTCCACAGAGTGAAACCCTCGCTGTTGGAATACTTAAGTTACCTTCTCAATTTCATGAGTGTCGTCGCTGGCCCTTGCAACAACTTCAAGGACTACGTAGCCTTCATTGAGGGGCGGCACATACATGTGAAGTTGCTGGAAGTGAACTGGAAGCATGAGGGTTTCCACGGCCTTCCCGAGCCTTCTCCCACCGTAAGTTCTGAGTTCCATGGATGTCCTCAGAGCTTCAGAGAATAGGATCTGCTGTAGGTTGACCTTCTCTAGTAATAGTTCTAATAATAATAATAATAATAAAAGCCAGGGCTGAGGGTAGAGCTCGGGAATAAGAGTACTTGTCTAGCAAGCTGGAGGCCCTGGGTTCAGTGCTCAGAATGGAGCAAACAAACAAACAGAAATGCAAAACAGTTTACTCAGGATGTCAACCAGTAACTTGTCCCTCTTTAGGAGTGTTAGGACTTATTTGATCTAAAATTGTGGCCATTTTGTATTGGAGCGCATATGTAGGAGCCTAGCATTGTGTTCAGTACCTCTAGATATTCATCGATTTGAACTTGAGGTTCAAACTGGTGTGTACTGTGTACTGTCCTTATACCATTTTACAAACCAGTTAAGTGTACCTTTAGGAAGGAAAAAAACCTGATCTATATATAATATCTGTGCTGTAGGAGGAACAGAGCGAAAGCACTCCATTCAGAGGAATTTAAAACATCAGCACATTTTGACTTCAAAGCTGACTACCCCTGAGCCATACAGAAAGGCTAAAGCTGTACATTACCTGCCCATGAACTGGCTCAAGTGTCCTGTCACTTGCATAATAACTTTATACCCAAGGCTCCATCCTCGGGGTTGGTGACTCAAGCCTATTTCCTGGACTCTGTTGGCCTATAAAAGTAGAAGGCAAATAGTTAATTGAAAATTATGGATGGAAAATTTCCACCCTCTAATGGTATCCATTTCTCCTATGTTTTGGGTGATAAATGCACCTTCGTTTTGTAGAACGTGCAGAAAGATGTTCTGTTCTATCATGGATCCACTTAACTCCTCAAGTGTCACATGCGTATTCTGCTGCTTTATCTAGTGCCCGATCCTCATCATCAGATCTGTGTCATGAAGAAACACTCCTGGTGTTTCTTTTCCTTTTGGAAAACAACACATGGCAGATACTGGAGTATCAGTGATCTTAACATACCTGTGTTGAAGCTGTTGTCCTGTAATTGAGTCTCCTGAGTGATGACACAGATTTCCCCCCTATCTGTAGGGAGCTGTGATTCGCAAGTTGTACATCGCCTTGGGGTCTCTCTTTTTTTTTCTGACGCTCACCAAGTCCTTCCCTATCACTTGCCTGGGTGATGACTGGTTTGTCCATCAAGCAAATTTTCCTACTCGACTCTGCTACTTGTACATTGTCATGCAAGCTGCAAAACCCAAGTATTACTTTGCATGGACATTAGGTAAGTTGGACACAGTGACCCTAAATGAATGAACAATACAGTCATACTCCTTGGGATGGCTTAGCCAAAACAGCCTTTTGGATCACCTAATAAAATGCAAATAAAAAAAAAGTCCAATCCGTAATGGAAAGCATTTAAGCCACTGTCATTTTTTTGATGTTGTTGTTCATTGTGTAGCTTGAACTCTGGACCTGGGCGCTGTCCCTGAGCTCTTCAGCACAAGGCAAGCACTCAACTACTTCAGCCACAGTGCCACTTCCGTTTTTTTGGTGGTGAATTGGAGATAAGAGTCTTATGGACTTTCCTGCCCTGGCTGGCCCAGTGTCATTTTTTAAAAAAACTTTTTAACGTAACACTCTTCTCTTTCATCCTCCATAAACCAAATTTTCCATGGTAAGGGACAAATCATTGCTGGCTCTTGTTTAGACCCAAGGTAAAACAGATGTCAAATACCAGAAGCTTCTTCCACCCATCATATTTAACCACTGAATATAACAGAAAGCCAAGGGGAAATTCCAGAACAGTTTAGCTTCCTTGTAATTTTTCTAGGTCATATGTAATATAGAATTCCATCCTGAATTAATTCTACCATTCCACAAGCTAATTTAGCTCACACTTACTTCTTGAAGAAAGTGTAGATTTCACTTGATGTTTTAGAGAAGAGCTGACTTTTAAATTTCTTTATTTTTAAAAAAGTTTTCTCTGTTTGCCCCCCTGTGGGTAACTTGGTCAATATGAAGTTTTCATCTCTTTTCAAGTAAGTTCAGACTGGAGTTGTTCAAATTTTTGCTAAAGTGAAGTAAACCCTTCTACGTTCTTTCCAAGGCTGGTAAAAACAGCTTGGAAATATCTTTGGGAATGAAAGTTTAACATCTTGGCTGGTACTTGTCAGAGAGTAGGAGGTTTCCCATCTCTGGGTTTTGAGATGGGGGTCTCAGTATGCAGCAAAGGCTGGTGTCAAATTTGTGAACTTCCCAGATGCCTGGATTATGGGTGTGATGTGGCTTCTAAAACCAAATAGATGTTTCAACTCAGCTTCTAGTGCTTTGCCTATATTCTTTACATAATTGATGGAGTTCTCCTAGTTGGTGCTTCTGATGCTAAGCTCCCAGTTAAAATTTGCAAGTACCAAATATCTTTATTCCACTCATTTATTGTGGTAAAAATCGATGTAGTATTAAATCTGTTCATTTAAGCTTCTAGTTCGGTGGCATTAAGTTCACTCACAGTGTTCTAGCATCAGCGTCATCTATCTTCAGAGCTTTCTCATCACCCCAAAAGAAACTCTGTCCATTAAATAGTAACTCCCTGTTCCTCCCCAGTCCAGGGGATTTTTGTTTGTTTGTTTGTTTTTGTTTTTGGGTCCGGTTGTGGGGCCTGAACTCTGGGCCTGGGCACTGTCCCTCAGCTCTTGAGCTCAAGGCTAGCGCTCTACCACTTGAGCCACAACGCCACTTCTGGCTTTTTTTTTCTGCTTATGTGGTGCTGAGGAATTGAACCCAGGGTCTCAAGCATGCAAGGCAAGCGTTCTACCACTGAGCCACCTTCCCAGCCCCCCAGTCCAGGGTATTTTTAAAAGCCAAAATGTTCATGCACAAATTTTTTCAAGGCACTACTTTCCTAATATCTGACAAGATAAATTTGACTTAGAGTTATTCTAAAACTTGCAGTATGGGGAACACTTTGTCTCCACTTACTTTTAGTTTACTTCAAGGGGTTTTTGTGGAGTACCAGGCTTTGTGCTAGGAAGAATCAAAACTGAGTGAGATACCTTTTCTCCACCTCAAGATTGTGAGACTCAGAACATAGACATGTGCAACCACCAGGTGGTAATAGTCCAGAGCTGACATAAATGTCAGTCCAGCGACTGACATCAAGACAATAATGAGTGTGTACTGGTTATTGGAGAAGGCTTGGGAATTCCCTTTTATTGTACTCCTTATTCTGCTGTTACTTTCTTATTTTAAAATGGTAACTAGGCATTATACCAGTGATGATTGGAACACAAGCCATATTTTTCCATGTGAAATAGTTTATGTGATTTTTTTCCCCATCTACTCAAATGAGGTAGGGGTGTGTGTGTGTGTGTGTGTGTGTGTGTGTGTGTGTGTGTGTGTGTGTGTGTGTGTGTGTGTGTGTGTGTGTGTGTGTGTGTGTGTGTGTGTGTGTGTGTGTGTGTGTGTGTGTGTAGCAAAAAGAGAGATAGGTCTCTTTTCCTTTTAGTGCATTCTTTCTTTTTCTCTCTCCTTATCCTTCTCTTCCTGCTCCCATATATATATTTTTTTTTGGGGGGGAGGGGGTCTGGTCGTGGGGCCTGACCTCTGGGCCTGGGCACTGTCCCTCAGCTCTTCAGCTCAAGGCTAGTGCTCTACCACTTGAGCCACAGCACCACTTCCGGCTTTTTTCTTTTTGCTTATGGGGTGCTGAGGAATCGAACCCAGGGCCTCATGCTTGCAAGGCAAGCGCTCTACCACTGAGCCACCTTTCCAGCCCCTCCCATATTTTGTATCCCAGAGCTGGCTTGGACTCCATCACCTCTTGATTTAGGAAGAAAGATGGCCTATTTCATGGCCTTGTAGGGAGAGTCTGACATGACATGGGTGTTCTGATGGGGTCTGGATAAGGAATGGGGGTACAAGGAATAGGAGTGACAGCATTGTTCTGCCTTTTGGAAGTCCCTTTGGATGTCTGACACGTAGAAATGCACCCTTTCTGTGCAGAGCTTTCTGTGTGGATTAAGTTACCCCTTTTTTTCTGATCCCTCTACTGTTTTCTTGTTCTTTATCTTTTTTGGTTGCTTCAGTGAAAATATCTCATTAATTTGCACAGCCTTGAATGGAAGTTTGTTATGGTTTAGATTGCAGGGCTGATCTAAAATTAACCTTTATATTATTTATGGATAAGGAAGCAATGAATAGTATATCAGGGAATCTTTAAACTGCTTAACCGAATAATTGTTTTATCTAGCTTTTAAAACACCATTTACATATAATTAATGTACTAATTATACATGGATATAAAGTTAATTCTTAAAGCTGGCCTCTGCATGCATCTCAGCTGAGCTGTGCTGTTAGCCTAATTCTAGTAACTGTTTATATTGAAATAATGAGACTATTTTCTTTGGACTTAGCAAACAATTCTGTTTTTTCATTCCTAATTAGTACTAATTAGAATAGGCCCAACCCTAACCCAGGCTTTGTTAAAAAGGATCACAGACTTCAGCATACGGGTGTCCAAATTAATTTGTGTGTAATAATAATTTAGATCGCTGCCCAAGAGAAGGAAAGCCAATTTTGAACTGGTGAATCCAGAACCTCTAACCTTTCTGAGAACAAGTCTTGGATAAGCTACTGCACATGCATCAAGCAGATTGGGGAATTCTGACTTCATCTATATGGGGTGGTTCTGAGAATTGATACTTTGGGTCAGTCATTTTTCCTGCAGAATGGGCTCTTATCTTTTTAGGTTGTGGAATCAAGAGTTGTAACATTCAGTTTCCAGCATTGTTTATCACCTGGAGTGCTCTTGATGTTTTGTGGCATCTCTAGCCACAATAATAATAATAGGATGGTGATGATGATGATGATGATGGTGATAGCCAACATTTCTTTTTTTTTTTTTTTCTGGTCTGTTGTTGGACTTGAACTCTGGGCCTGAGCACTGTCCCTCAGCTCTTTAGCTCAAGGTGAGCGCTCTACCCCTTGAGTCACAGTGCCACTTCTGGTTTTCTAGTGGTTTATTGGACATAAGAGTCTCAGGGCTTGGGTGCTGTCCCTCAGCTCTTCAGCTCAAGGCGAGTGCGCTACCGTTTGAGTCACAGCGCCACTTCTGGTTTTCTGGTGGTTTATTGGATATAAGAGTCTCAGGAACTTTCCTGCCGGGGCTGACTTTGAACCGTGATTCTGAGATCTCAGCCTCCTGAGTAGCTAGGATTATAAGTGTGAGCCACGGCGCCCGGCTAACAGCCAACATTTCTTGCATGATACTCTGGATCAGATACTGTGCTGGGCACAGTATAGACATTTAATTTTGTTGAATCATTTCAGCAGCTTTCTAAATAGGGTCACTATATGTATCTAATTTTATTGTTAGGGAATAGTTCCTAGCAGTTAGGTACTTTTTTTTCTCAAGGCCATGTATCAGGATGCCATCAAATCCACCTTAACCAGCCTCTCAACGCTATTGTAAGGATTAAATAAGAAATTTCAGTAAGGTATCAAGTATAGAGCCCTGGAAAGGTGAGGTGATGATGATTTTTGATGATCAACTTGAGAGGATTGAGAACTATCTAGGGAGATGAATAAAGCTCCCCATCAAATCCGTCTGTGAGGCATTTCCAGAGAGAAATGACTAAAGGGAATAGGAGCAATCCCTTCCCATAGGGTTGTGGGGCACACAAGAATGGAAAGGGAATGCCAGCTACTGCTTTCTCTACTTCCTGGGGGCCATGAGGTGATCTGCTCTGTGCTTCTGAAAATCCTAAAGCCACGAAGTAAAACAATTCTCTGCTACACACACCTCAAGTTTGTATCTATCAGGTATTTGATTTTTGTCTTAGCAGTGTGAAAGTCTAACGAATACGGATAAGCACTGAAAGCATACACACGTATACATAAAATAGTTGTGCTCTTTTAGCTCTGACCAAGTGTAGCAGACATGAACTTGAAGGTAGAAGGAAGAATTTATGAGTTGCTCTGCTGTCCATGGAAATCTAGCTCTGTTTTTCCATTGTCCACACAGGGCCCTTCCCTCAGTTTATTTTATCTCTGTCACTCATATATTTATTCCTATACATGTAAATCAACTAGATTCCTTCTGATATACTCTCATTTGGTTTTTCTTTTGCTTCTCCAACTGAGTTTCTATCCATTTGGTTTGGTAGGATGACATGGTAGGGATTGGTGCTTTGCATCCTTCTTCCTGAAAGTAGCAAGATTGTTTTACACTGAGGCTAAACCTAAAATAACCACCATTTAAGTCGTCAGCTATGCCCAAAATAGATAAGACAAATACAGGACAGAACTTTTTGTTTTGTTTCATCTTGTTTTGAGAAATTCTGGCAATAGAACCTAGTATCTAACACTTGCTAGATAAAGTGCTCAAGTACTGAGCCAGCTCCCCAGTCTACAACAGTTTGTTTGCTTTAATAGAGTAGCTTTTCTAAAGGCTGTTGATTTGGACTTGACCTTATAACGGAAGAGTTTCTCTAAGACTTTACAGTGATATGACTCAATGAGTGGTAAATATTTTCTCCAAGAAAATATCCTAATTTTCTTGAAATAAAAATAAGATCAATTTAAAATAAGATGAATGAAAAGAGATAATTAGTCTCTTGGTCATCATCCTAGAAGTACATTAGTTCATCATGTCTGTATTTGATTACTCAAACATTTTGTTAAGGAATTGATTGGAAGCAAAATATTTGCTGCAGGGGGGAATTTCCTTGTAGCTCAGTAAAGTAAATAAAGATGGAAAAAGGAGGTTTTAGAATGACTTCGAGGGTAAGATGGCTTTGCTCATTGTAGCCCACGTGACCTCTCATTCATAGCTGTAGATCTCTTCTTTGTCTTGACATTTATCTTTTGTATTAGAGAACCTAGGCAGCTCCAACTGCCATCCTACTGCCTCTCCCATGCTTATCTCCAGGATGAACTCCAGTTTTTCTCTCAGAACTTGTCCTCCTCCTGACTTAGTGCATCTTTTTCTTGAGTGACAATTCTTGGTCCTCCACGGGGTCCCTTGTGTCTTTGGATCTCTGCTTTTGAGCACAAGCATATTTTCAATCTCCTTTTCTTTTTGCCTTCATTGAGAACTGGTTACTAAATTCTACTCTTTGCTTCTTCATTTTAACTCTTCTCATTTATTCTCATTGTTTTGCATCTGATGAATAGCCATACTTTTTCTCTTAGTAGGTGCTCACTAGATGCTAGGAATGAATGTGTAGCATCTGAGGGGATCAACCAGCCAAATATATTTTTCTGACTCATAATGACACTGGGTTCTTTCCGAGTTTTTTTTTTTTTTTTTGGTTCCCTTTCCAAGGAACTCACACATATGCTCAACATTGAAGTAGACATATATTTGGACTCTTTTAAGGCCACAGTGCTGCTTTCATTCTGTATCCTAACAACAGTGTTTTTAAAACCACAGCGGATGCAGTGAATAATGCAGCTGGCTTTGGGTTCAGTGGAGTGGATAAGAATGGAAATTTCCATTGGGATCTGCTGTCTAACCTAAACATCTGGAAAATCGAGGTGAGTACGTTTACTTCCAGCATGAGTAAAGCAAGCAGTTTTCTTTGAGTGCAACATTCTGAGATCCTACACCAGAGTGTTTGAGAAAAAAGTTGCTCTGGGAAAAGCCAGGCCCTGCAGTCTTCTGAACATTTTACATCTCACATTTTTTTTGTTTTATTGTTTTTCTTCTTAAATAGACATTTTCTTTTGCAGTTTTAATAGTTCAAGAGAAAAAAAAGAGACACCAAGAATCTTAAAAAGAGCCAAGAAAAATCTTTCTCTTGTTTACATTCTTATTTTTTTTCAACTAGAAAGTGCAAATGTCAATTTTCTCTTGTTCACATTATACTTATTTCCGCCAAGCACACAGACGGGAAGTTCCTGCATTTAGATTTCAATATTGTAAGGGTTTCTGTGGACCCCTTGGAAACGGTTCTAAACCCATTTGCTTTTCAGAAGGATTATGACTGAACTCAACTTGTAGGCCACTAGAAGAGAGTGTGTGTCCTCATTTTTCACTCTTCATTCTTGGACCAGCATTCACCAGCAAGTGTAGTCTTAGGGGGACTGTATCATTCATAATTTTCTTTGCTTTGTTAGCACTAGAGTGTACAGGGACAGCATGTCATCAGAGCCTTTCCTTCTTGTAGCAACCGAAGGCCACAAATAGCAGCATACAGAACCAGTACAACTCTTATATGTTGTTGGATTTGGTTTTCCACCTCTCCTGGGACAGATAAGATGCCATTGGAGGATTTTCCCAGAGAAAGTTGTTTGCAGAGAAGGAAGCCAATGACTCTGACCACTTTCTACCCACGTTTGGTGGAAATACAGCCAGGAAAGCCATAGAGAAAGCCAACTTCTTCCGCCCAAGTTTGCATTTGGACAGCCTCCAGTAGCCTTTCACAAATTCCTAACAAAACATGGGAGGTTTATAGATTTCTTTTACTTCTCTTGCTCTTCTTCTTGCCTTTTCTTTTTTCTTTTCTTCCCCTCCTGCTGCTTCATAGACGTTGTTTCTTCAAAATACAAGCAAGCAGAAAGAAATAGGAGTACTTTTATGGCCATTAATGAAGCAAATAAAATGCATCATACATTCCGCTTCAATTCATAGTGCCATTTGATCACTCAGGTTAATCAGATTCAATAAATATCCAGTTTCCACTATGGGGAAAAAAACCCACTCATTTTTAGATCATCCTAGAGAATCTGAAGACACCTGTGGTAGAAGGCCTTTCCAAGCCTGGCAAGGGAAAAGCTAAAGTCTCATCTGGGTTCTTTCTGAATGAAGCGTAACACTCTGTCTGTTGATTGCCTCATGTGAAGCAGGAAGTGCTCCCATCACAGCAAACCACATCTTCAGGGGACAAGCTCCAGACTCCACAATTACCTTTCCCACTTCTAGAAGAGCATACAGATCACCTGGAAGCATCTTTTATCTGTATAAGTGATGTCAGACAAAGCCCAAGTGAGTCATGACTTTCTTCCCTTTTCCCACTAACATCCTTCATTCCCTCCAACCTCCTGGACAGCTGACTGATCAGCTGCCTTCGAGCACTATGGGTAAAATGCCTTTTGTGGTGGTCCTCGTGACCACTGATCACTCAAAAGTGGCACTCTAAAGACAAAATCCTTTCACTTAGGGGCATGTGTTCAAGGTCAAAGGCTATGTTATTAAGTTCCATGTTTATTAGGGAAGAAAATAATGAGAATGATTGCATTTTAATTGTGTTTGATAAGGGGCAAAGGACAAAAGCAAAACAGGGATGTCTGATTTAGTTCAGGGATCCTGAGGCTGTGTTTGTAGCCTTTTATTCTTATGCAGAAGTATAGAGCAAAATCCCTTAGGGTTTCAAAATAAAAGCTCACAATAAAAATCTATCTCTCTTATCTATCATCTGTATTTATCTGCTCACATATCTGTTTATCATAGCTCTATCATCTTTCCATCTGGTCTTCCATTTATCTATCATCTATCTTATTCTCTCCCTTTCTCCTTTTCTTTCTCCCAGTTAAACATACCACATGAAGCTACTGTGTGGTCTCTAAGATTTTCTTGTACCTGAAGAAACATTAACAGGAAAAAAAATGGTCCCTGCCCTTTCTACTTTCTTCAGAAATTGTTGTCCCCATATGCGTGCTTCCTATATTTTGCCACCAATCTTTGATAAGACTTTTTTTTGATGGTTTGAATGAGAAAACCTAATTGATCACATATTTTGGGTGGCTCTTCCTCAGTGGTTGATTGATTTATATTATTGCCAGTTGGGTGCTATTTCTTTGTTTTCTTTTCTGAATTGGGATCCCTTCACGCATAAAATTGCTTACTATCTCAGACACCATTGGTAGCATTTGGAGCGGCGTAGCTATTTATAGAAATCAGTGCATAAGACTGACCTAATTTGTACATGACCTCATAAAGATGACAGTTATACTTCAATGGTCTCTAGAAAGGCTCTTTATTTGCAAGATTAAACTTTTTGTGGTAAGTCCCTTTTTAGAATATTGTTTTAAAAATCAGAGGATTAAATTTTTTTTTTTTTTTTTTTTTTTTTGGGGTCCGGTCGTGGAGCCTGAACTCTGGGCCTGGGCGCTGTCCCTCAGCTCTTCAGCTCAAGGCTAGCGCTCTACCACTTGAGCCACAGCGCCACTCCGGCTTTTTTCTTTTTGCTTATGTGGTGCTGAGGAATCGAACCCAGGGCCTCAGGCATGCAAGGCAAGCACTCTACTACTGAGCCACCTTCCCAGCCCTTAGGATTAAATTTTTTTAACCAATAGAAGGGAAAGCTATAGACTCTTCCTTCAGTATTGCTACAATTTGAAAGTAAATTCAGAGGGGAAATCAGAGTCTACCAGCCATGTTGTGTTAGTTGCAAGGCAAATCTCACAAACACCAGGAAACTTTATGGTGAGTGATGGCGCAGATGATTTACTCTCAGCTGTGGGTAATCACTTCTGAAATACCACATCAAATCTGCTGCCAAGGAAATTCTGGGGAAGACTTTCCATTACTTGGAAGATTTTTAAAGCTAATGATAAGTGTTTTCCCTCTTCTAGACTGCCACAAGTTTCAAAATGTACTTGGAAAACTGGAACATTCAGACATCTACTTGGCTAAAGTGGTAAGCAAAACAAAACCAACCTCATTATTGGCAGTAGGATATGGGAAGGTTGGGATGCATAAGATGAGCAATAGTAACTTACCACCAACTTTTGATGAGACTTTTTTGATGGTTTGAAAGAGATAACCCAGTTGATGGCTTATTTTGGAGGATCTTCCTCAGTGATTGATTGACTCAATAATTTTTGCCAGTTGGGTGGCAGTAACAGTAGTGATGCCATCATACATATCTTAACATATTTATCGTACATTATATTAACATATCCTCTGTACATGAAAAAGTAGACAGTGATTTGAGAAGGTTGTAATGAAAAACATTAATTTTATCTTGTAATGCTCCATTCCTGAGTACCAGACACTCTTTTTATTTCTAGTGTCAATCCCAAAGGATGTGGATCATCGTTATCCATACTTTATATCTGAGTTAAATGAAACAAGAAGAGGTTATGTAATTTGCCCAACAAGCCACCCAGCTAATTTATAATAAAAATGAGCCCCAATGGTCTTTCTCTTGAACTGGACTTGTGACCTGAGTCCTATGCTGTCTGCAACCAAGAGACTCATCTGTCCCTCAGATGTCTATATCCCTGCTCCTTGCTGGGCACATCCCTAGCACTACCAGCTGTGTGTTACCCCAGACATTTATGTTCTTTATGTACATTTGTGTTTATATTTTTCTGCCTCTTTGTTTCCCTTCATGTTCCACTTTTATTATGGAAACAGTGGTTATTATAGAACTAATAATATGCTATGTTTGGAGCAGCAAACTTTATCTGGTGAATGTGCCTAATGTAGCAGATTCTACTGGGTGTTTTGTTTGTTTGTTTGAGACAGAGTCTCACTATGTAATCTATGCTGGCCTTGAAGTTGCTGTGTAGCCCAGGCTGGCCTCTGACTCAGTATCCTCCTGCTCAGCATCCTGAGTACTGGGATTATGGGTGTGTAATACTACATCTGGTTGATTACCATCCTTCATAACTTAGAATTTGGGAGAAAAAGGAGAGATGATGTATAGTAATTTCTCCAAAGTAGGCTCATGATTTTTCTGAAAGTTGATCCAATCACGTAGTTTTTTTTTTTTTTTTTTAAGTTTTGGCCTTAACTTTTTGTTTTAAATAAATAATGCGAATATTTTTAACATGAACATTCACTTTTTTTAATATGGAGTAATCCCAATACCTTACGAGTCACATAGTTTCTCTTATGAGTTTGTAGTCCAAGATGACTAAACATACGTGTGTGTATAAAAAATGAAAACTATTTTTAAAATTCTGCAGAAACACTAAATGTGAAATACTAAAACACTTCTTGTCCTAATCATTTCACACAAAGGATAGTCACAGTTCTCCCCCTTCTACCTCCCTCAGAACTGGGGCTACAGTACACCTCTTTTGGATTTTCTCTTCTTCTCCTTCTCCTTCGTCTTCTCCTTTGTCTTCGTTTTTGTCTTCTTTTTTGCAGTATTGGAGTTTGTGCTCAAGGCCTCACACTTGCTAGGCAGATGCTGTACCAATCGAGCCACTCTGCCAGCCCTCTTTTGTTCGGGATATTTTTGTGATAAGGTCTTGCTTTGTGTCAGCGCTGGCCTAGACTGATCCTCCTATTTGTGCTTCCTTTTGTCACTGAGTTGCCAGGCATGTGCCATGTGCTGAGCTATTGTGTTTTCTTCACAGCTTGGAGTGACAGGAGCATACCATGGTGCCCAGCTATTGGTTGAGATGGAGTCTTAGGAGTTTTTTATGTCATGGTTGGCCTTGAGCCCTGACCCCCCCCTCCCCCCCACCTACACACACACACACACACACACACACACACACACACACACACAGAGCTAGGATTATAGTCTTGAGCCACATTGCCTGGCTGCCCTCCCTGGCTGGGTTTTTAGATATAGGTCTGACTAACTTTTTCTCTGACTTACCTCAAGTCATTAGTGGCCTTGAACCCTGACCCTCCCATCTCTGCCTCCTTTGTAGAGGTAGTATAGGCATGCACTACCATGCTCAGTTCTATATCACTCTGTCAGACAATTTCCTGGGTTGAATTCTGCTGGTCAACTACATAGGTCATATACCCAGCACACTGATTCTGTGATGTAGTCACTGACAAGACAGGTGGAAAAGCTCGTAGTGTTGATTAGATGGCAGAGGGAAAGGTAAATTAACATTGACTAAATGAGGATATCCATTGCTAAGGAGCCTTATCCCCAGCCTACAAATTGTAATACCAATGGCACTTACTGAAGTATCACTAGTAGATGAGGCCACTGGCGGTCTCACTCGCTAGATAGAAAGTGACCAACAGAACTCTATTAGATAGAGTGCAGTGGGATCCAGATCATTTACTCGAATGAGTTAAAATCTTGTCACAGCTCCTAAAATGACTGAGCCATCCATTACCCATTGGTGGTGCTCATGGAAAGCAGAAAGGCTATGGTTGCTATTATTTCATTCCAGGTTCCCCAGCAGTAATGAGTCAAATGAGTTCTGCTCCAGAGAGAAGCAGGTATGCAGCTAGAAGTGTCCAGTGTGTTCACTCGGAGCTCTTATTCCTTCCTGTCTTCACAGTGTGTGTTATGAGCGAGTTCCATGGTACCCTACGGTGCTAACCTTCGTCCTGTCTGCCTTGTGGCATGGTGTCTATCCTGGATACTATTTTACCTTCTTAACTGGAGTCCCTGTTACATTAGCAGCTAGAGTGGTAAGTTTCCTTGAGCAATTATATGTTTGTTGTTTTAGGTCCTAGCAAGAATTGGGCATGGGAATGGCAGTGAGGATATTTTGAAAACTTAAACATTATGAAAAAGTCTTCATTACAGAAAAAGGCTTCAATATATAGGAACTGGTTTTAACAAAAATAGTTAACATTGTTTCCATAATTTTTCCAGTATTCTAGGAGCAATATTTACTACCTTAAGGGATGAACTTTTTATTATTAAATAATGCACATATACAGTCTATTAATTACAGATGATGGTGCTTATCAATTAATATAGGTTCTATAGGACTTCAGTTTGCTTATAGCATGCTTGGTTTCTCATTTCATTATCCTAAGCCTAGAAATAATTCACAGTAGCTCTGAACAATGGGATAAGAACCATAGGAACTCTGGCTTTAGAGATGACTCTGACCGCTGTGTTCTTCTGTGATCTGGTTCACTTGGCTTGTGTAAAATAACTTGTGAACTTCATAACTTTCAATTTTAGGGCTTTTGAGAACCTCTAGTTTGTCCAGAGCTGTTCCTTTGCTTATTATAAAGCAGGATACTGCAGGAATAAAAAAAAATGTGATTGTCTTCGAAGAAAATTGAACATGTAATTGCAATTCAAAGTGCTTTGATTGTCAAATGTAATTTTGTGTTCAGCTTAATTTCAATCTTTGATCACAACTGGGGTTTTCCTGACTTCAGATGCCAAGACATTTTTGAACTGCCATTTACAAAGTGAATGCAGGAACCCTAGCATACAGCATAGCTATTCATTCACTTGAATTTGTTTCTTCTCTGAATATATCAGAAGCTCTGTCTTGGGGCAATCAGAATTATCAGGACCAGACTGTGACAGTGAACAAGACAGGGCCTCTCCCCTGAGGACTTCCTATTTCACCTGGAATTCTGCTGGATCCTGTTTGTGTACATGGTGGATTAACCACATGCCATACATACTTGAACGCAGAAAACAAGGAAGACATTTTCTTCCTCCTGTCCATATAACTACCCCAGGAAAGGAAACTATAGGAACAGATGGCAAGAACAGATTAAGCAATAAAGGTCACATTTTTAGCTCGTTAATATATTCAGAGTACAATTCCTTAAGATATCCTTAGCTCCATGTTCTCAGCTGACATAAAGGCTTTGATTTGTGTAGATCCTTTCTTTTGGAGGGCTCAGAAACATTTTTCACAAGGATATTAGGTAAGGGACAGAAAGGAAACAGTCAATGGAGCAGAGCTTCTGTTTTCCCTTGGAGAATAAAGTGTGGTCTTAAGCCTGTGGAAGTTACCAGATAAAAATCTCATACCAGAGGCCGAGTGTAGCCTGTGGATTGATCTCTGGTCTTTGTCCTGAGGGACTGACTGCTGAAGAGAAGAGTTTAGCTCATCAGACAACCATGGAATTTGAAGCCTTTCCTGCTTGAAATGCAACTGCTTATAAAAGCCAGCCATTTTTTTCAGCCCTGCCTTTTATTCTTGACTCTAAAACCTGAGTGTCTTTCTGGAGGCAAGTTGAGTTACATAGATCAAAAGACCTGTGCCTCACTTTTTTATATATAAATGGACATAATGATACTTGCTTCTTGGGAGAATTAGCAGAGGCAATCATGTACAGACTTGGTCCACTGTAAGCTAAAAATACCATTATAGTAGCTGCATTTGCTAATAGGAATAGTAATAACTATTACCCAAGTATTATTACTCAAGTATCACTTAAGCATTGCACTACTACAAGTAACACTGTTTATATCATCGTTACCCAAAGGAAATAAAGACAAAACAGTAGCGATTCATTTATAAAGGTATGCATCACAGAATTACTATCGTAGCAAAATGGGATGGGAAAACAAGATAATTTTTCCAGAATTCAGTTAAAAATCATACTGGAAATTAATATTTATGGACACAAAGAAATACAGTCCACAATAGATAATAAAACAAAAAAAAAAGCTAAAGATATATTGGTGCCATTAAGGATATAAATCTGCATACATAGAAATAGAACTCAGCTTTGGAAGGCAACATGCCAAGATTTTGAAAGTGCTTTTCTTTGGGAGATGTTAAACAAGAAAAACAAATTTCTTAGTTGTTTGTTAAACTTTTTTTTTCTACAGTGAATATGTAGTTTTTTACACATGAGATCATTTTAGTTGGGAATTTTAGTTGGAATAGAACTCAGAGGCTGTTTATAGTCTATAGCTTGTATTTCCAAGGTTTCCTGCCTTGAGATGGAGTACCATTTGGTTTTTGTCACCTCTGACCTTCCACGATGCCTTCCTTGACTTCCAGATAAGGACCAACTACAGACATTACTTTCTTTCTTCAAAACCTCTCAAAATCATTTATGACGTGGTTACCTGGGCAGTCACTCAGCTGGCTGTATCATACACGGCCGCGCCCTTCGTTATGTTGGCAGTCGAACCAACCATCAGTTTGTACAAGTAAGTTTCCACTGTTGTCAGTTACAACCTGGGAAGGCAGTCGGTGTTCCATGTTCTACTTAGTAATCAATAAATTGAATCTATGTATGAAGATTGTATGAAGAATTCCTAAGTGTGACTTCAAGTGGAGAAGAATGTATAGAAACTTTAAGAAGAAATGACTATCCCAGAGACTATCCCAAATATGAATATCGATACCTTCAAAGAAAGTTGACAGGAATTCCATGACATTTAGGGGCACTCATGGCAGTGCATTCTGCCAGGATGGAGCTTGATAAGAGCCCCTGAAGGGGAATTTCTTGCCCTTGATTCTTTTTTCCCTGGAGATTAAGCTATGTTGGAAGCTGTGGGGACAGAAATGGCAGAGGCTGGGGTCTGTCAGCCTCTGGGATTGCCTGGCTTGGGTAGTCATGGAATGGCTCTTGGGCCCATTTCTGAGATAAGGTTCTGGTTGGATGCACATGGGGATTTGTGTTTCAAGATGAACATGGGAAGGAAGGGAAAGAATGTGAAATACCAGAGACCAGAGGTCTTTACAGAAAAGATATGAGATCCTTCTATTTTGCACCAAATGAACTGCAAACATGAAACTGTTTCGTGCTAATTGGTTGTTGCTTCATGCTAATTGGTTAGTTTCATGTTCATTGGTGGTGGTTTTACACTCACCCAGAGTGTGTGTTGGACCAGTGAGTGAGGCAGAGCAGTGTGGTAGTGTTCTTGATATGGGAACAGAATAGAATTCCCCATGATAGGAGGCTGTATCATGCAAAGAACATCAGAAAAAAGCATGAATGGGGACAGAACATAGAGCCTAGAGTGAACAGTGGTGAGCTGAGGAGGGAGAGGGGTAAGCATCAGCACCTTTATTTGTCTTATGAGAAGGCAGAGTCTCAGGGAGGTTGAATATATCACCATTCACACAGCATCTAGCTGCTAGACCTGAGTTTCAGACTTAAAGTTCCTTTAATGGCAAGATTAGTAAAGCAGTTACTAAAAATTTCTTTGGGACAAGCTATTTTGGAAGCCAGTCACTACTTATAGATCAGACTAAGTGAAAATGTTTGTGATATCAGGCATTTAACCAACTAAAACGTGTGTCAAGTCAGACACCAAGACAGCCATTCAAGGGGTAAAATCCAGTTTCTTTTTTTTTTTTTTTTGTCGGTTGTGGGGCTTGAACTCTGGGCCTGGGCGCTGTCCCTCAGCTCTTCAGCTCAAAGTTAGCCCTCTACCACTTGGGCCACAGCATCACTTCCGGCTTTTTCTGCTTATGTGATGCTGAGGAATTGAACCCAGGGCCTCATGCATGTGAGGCAAGCACTCTACCACTGAGCCACCTTTCCAGCCCCTAGAATCCAGTTTCTATCAAGCAGCTTTTCAGTTGTTTAAGAAAGACTCTAACAGATTTTTGAAAACATCTTTATTTAGAATAAAACATTTTTTGTCAATTTGGTCCATTAGAGATTATCTAATGTAATGTTACCTGTCTCATGTATGTGCATGAATACAGACATATATGCATGCACACACATGTGTTTCTTATAGACACACCTATACATAAGCATGTTCTATAACACACATATCCATATATGTATTATATAATACATACATATAATCAATACACATGTGTATACATGCCTATACATATATGGATATATGCATATGTGGACTGTATAATGTGTGTAATAGATATACATTATATATTGTAAATGTACTCACATATTTTATATGCTGTATATTACATGCTAGATCTATAATATATAACTTAAATTCTGATCTAGATCAACTGTGTCCTGTAGAAGCGTCAGTGATAATGGGGATCCTCATCTATGCATTACATATATCAATCATAGGTCAGCAGAACATAGGACATTAAACCTTTGATGTGTGGCTAGTGAAACCAAAGAAATGAATTTTCAATTTCACTTATTTTAATGTTGAAAGGCATATGTTATCTGTTTTTGTTTTTGTTTTTTTCAGTCATGGGGTTTGAACTCAGGGCCCAGGTAATGTCCCTGAGCCCTTTTGCTCAAAGCTATTGCTGTACCACTTTGAGCCACAGTGCCACTTCCAGTTTTCTGGTGGTTAATTGGAGATAAGAGTCTCATGGACTTTCCTGCCCAGCCTGGCTTCAAACCGTGATCCTCAGATCACAGCTTCCCGAGTAGTTAGGATGACAGGCATGAGCCACTAGTGCCCAGCTGCCTGTGGCTTTTATAGATCTATTATACCAGAAAGATTTTTTAAATCTTGTCTATGTTTTTTGTTTTTGGCAGTACTTGGATTTGAACCTAGGAACTCTCACTTGCTAGGCAACAGGTCTACCAGCTGGGTCATTCCCATAGTCCTCCTGTGTGTATTTGGGATTATAGGTGTCCATCACCAGGCCAGCCCTTTCAACACAGACTCTTGCTAAATTTTGCCTATACTAAGTTTAACCACCAACCCTTATACAAACTGCCTCCCAAGTATCTGCGATTACAGGAGTGAGGCATTGCATCTAGCTTTTTAGTTTGCTTTTAGTCTAGAGTGTCTTCTAATTTCAGCTTTAGAATTTTCAATTTTTTTCTTTAAATTTCCAGGGAACTCAAGTTTAATGAATACCTAAATGTGTGATGAAAGATGCCTTTTCTTAAATCATTTTGAAAGCAAAATCTTCATACACTCATGTATCTTTAAATAGATAATGCTGTCCTTAACTTCAGTGGGTAAGAATGTTAGAATTGGTATGTGAACTTTTGTGGACAGCACACTTCTTAACCACAGGAACTATACCTTATTTGCATCTGTAGAACCTTGGTCAAGGCCAACCATGCTCAATATAGGTTTTATTAATAAAACCTTCCTCAGAATTTTATTTGTTTATTTATTTTTGGTCGGTTGTGGGGCTTGAACTCTGGGCTTGGGCACTGTCCCTGCGCTCTTCAGCTCAAGGTGAGCGCTCTACTACTTGAGCCACAGCACCACTTCCGGTTTTCTAGTGGTTTATTGGAGACTAGAGTCTCACGGACTTTCCTGCCTGGGCTGGCTTTAAACTGAGATCCTCAGATCTCAGCCTCCTGAGTAGCTAGAATTACAGGTATGAGCCACCAGCGCCTGGCCTAGAATTTTAGAATAAGGTTGTCTGTATTTTTTTTTTTTCAGTCATGGGGATTGAACTGTAACTGCTAAACTTCACTAGGGGATTGAAATTCATTTCACTGGATGGATGATCAGATTATTTAATTTAACTCAACATAATTGCTCTTGTGTAGATTTAGTCACATAAGAAAGACGGGGTTGCTGGGTGCTGCTGGCTCACACCTGTAATCCTAGCTACATAGGAGGCTGAGATCTGAGGATCAAGGTTCAAAACAGCCCGGGCAGGAAAGGCTGTGAAACTCTTATCTCCAACAAACCACCAGAAACCCGGAAATGGTGCTGTGGGTCAAGTGATAGAGTGCTAGCCTTGAGCTGAGATGCTGAGGGACACAGCGCCCAGGCCCAGAGTTCAAGCCCCACAACCAACAAAAAAAGAAAAAAAAGGCAGGGTAAAACATAAGGACCACATATGTAGTCAGTGTGTTGATTTTGAAAGCTGTAATTAACTATGGCTAAAGTATCCTTTGAGAGTCTACTGTTGACCCAGCAGGTCTACCTAAAGAGCATTTTCTTTCTCAATAATGACCTTTAAACAGTGAATTAGATGGTTGATTACTATAGCTATTTATTCTGCTCCTAATGACCATGAATCCCATTCAAAGCCCTTGGCATCCCCTCATTCTTTATCTATGAAGGGAAAAACATTTGTCTCTACTAAACCTATATAAAATTTTCTTATCATTATTCTCTAAGCAAAAAAAGTACAAGGATTATTCATAGAGCATTTGCAGTGCCTTAGGTAAAGTGCTTGTGAAGTTTGCAGGAAAATGTGTCTGGATTGCACATACTGCACCATGTTTGATAAGGGATCTGAGTATCTGTGATTTTTTTCTCAGCAGAAAGCCTGGACCAGTTCTACGTGAACAAGACAGTGTTTGTCCTCTTTCCATTTTCCCAAGGAAAGGAAGAACAACTTAGCTCTTTTGTAGATCTCAGTTTAATGCTTTTTACTGTGCATTTTTTGTTTTTGGTTTTGTTTTTTTATAAATTGCAGTTTGGGGAATTAGACCCAGGGTTTCATATATACCATTGAAGGACCCGTCATCGAGCTATTTCTCTAGCTTCATGCTTCATACATTTTAGCAGTAAACACTGAAGGAAAGAGTAAGTGAATGAAGATATATTAATACTCTTGACTCTTTTGTCATCCTTAGAGAGTCTTTCTTCTTGACAAAAGGTGGAGAATTTTAGCTCATAAGTGAATTGTTTAGTTCAAATATACTTAACCTTGCAATTATTGAAGCCAAGGAATGAAACAAATCAGTTGTAATTCCTCTTTTAACATTATTTTTCTTTAATCTTAAAAAAGTGTTAGAGAAAATATAAACTCAACCTTTCCAGATGCATCTGCAACAGTTATGCTAACTGCCAGTTATTCTAATAACATATACTTATTGATCTGCTTTAACTAGCATTTTGGGGGCATCTACACTGCACTGAATAGTGTATTTTTGCAATCAAAACCAACCAATCTCCAAAGTCAAACTTGTTTCTTATTAGTTTGGATGAAAGTTTTTTGCAAGGTTGTAGACAAAGGCTTCAAAAATCAGGATCCTTCTGATTCATATGTCACAGAGGAACTCCTTACACTTGAAAAAGGAACATATGGAAGAAACTGAGCTGGGTTTGGATTCAGAGGACAGTGTTCGGTTTGAATGTAGCCTTCTAAGTCCTAAGTTTTGAGTATTAGAGATTTCTGGCTTCCCTGGGGTTAATTCTGTTGGCCTGTTTATATGTCATCTTGACCATACTGCATCTGTTTGCCTATGAGCTGATAGGATTAGTGTCTCAGCTTTGTGGTTCCATTAATCCCTGACCTGCTCACTTACCTAATGGAGTACAATCTGGAGGGGATCAAAGCAAGCCTGACATACAGACTTTCCCTACTGGAGATGTTGCTCATATGATGTTCTCCAATTATTCCCTTCTTTCAAATGTAATTGGTGTTTGTTTGTTCTATCCCTAGGTCCATGTACTTTTACTTACACATTGTAAGTCTCCTGATATTACTTTTTCTGCCAATCAAACCACAAGCTCACACTCAAAAGCAACCCCAGAGTCTGAACTCTGTTCATAAGAAGAAAGCAGACTGATACCTCTGAGAACAGCTAAAACAACAACAGCAACAAAAAACCAAAACAACATTGCAAGACATTGGAAAGATGAAATAGAAAAGCTCGAAGGTTCTTCAGTGACTTAGAGGCAATGTTTACATGCATCTTTTTTTTTTTTTGAACTGCAGGGAGTATTTTTTATACAGTCTTTTTTTTGTACAGCGAAATTAGCCCGATCTATGTGTCTTAATATGTTACGGGATCTTCCAGTGATGGAGAAGTGTAGAGAATGTGCCGGAGTTTCTGAGACAGTCTCTTCTGGAATTCTAGGTCTTTGCTTTTCTGATATCATTTTCAGTTGAAATCTGGGTGATGGGAATTGGAATCTAGGCATTGGCCTGGGAAGTTAGGAGATGATTACTGAGATTTATCATAAATTTCTCTTCCTCTCTCCCTCTTTCCCTCTCTTCTTCCATTCCTCTCTCTCTCCCTACCTCCCTTCCTCCCCCCTCCCCCAACACCCTCTCACACTGTAGCTCAAGATGACATGGAACTCACTGTGTGGCCTAGGCCATCATTGACCTTGGCAATCCTCCTTCCTCAGCTCCTCAGCTTCCTCACCATAAGCATGAGTCTCCATGCCTGGCTGCCATGGATTTCTTAAGTAGAAGCATATCCAGGCATGATTGTTCTTGGGAAGCTCCAAACCCTTTGACTGTGGTATTATTGGTTTGTGAACCTAAGAGCTGTACCAGCCGAAGACCCTGGCTGAACAGGATCATGGAAGGAGATTTTTGGGGTACTCAAAACAATATGAGTGAAGAGGACCAACCATGAACATTTGAATGGACTAGCAGTGAGCCCTCAAACAGGCTGCTTTCCCCTGCCCTCCCCACCCCATCCCCAGGAATGTATTCTTTCCATTTGTTTATTCTGAAATGAGCCACAGTGGGAAATCACAAACTCTCCGGTGTATATCTGCTAGGAGCCTGCTTTCCATTTTACCTGCTTTCATCTGCTTGCCCAGGAGTGGCCCTGAAATGACACCCAAATATTCACACCATCAAAGGCAGTAACATACCTTTTTAAAAAAAACATAATATATATATATATTTATTATCTTTAAGTAGTTGAACAAAGGAATTACCATTCATCAAATCAGTTTATAAGTACAATGCATTTTCATCAATGTCACCCCTTTTATCTCTTTCCTCCATCTAAAGTACTTTTTGAAGAACTAATCTGTTTAAAAAGTAAAGTTCTGTAGCATTTTGGTAAGAAGAAACACATGTTTCTCCTTCTTTCCCTCGATTTCTAGAGGTGTTAATGATCATGGCCATGATATACACATGGGCCTGATTTTCATTTTTCTAGCTTCATAACTGATTAAACCCAGCTTTATTTTAGATGAATCATCATATTATAAAGCAGAAACTAGAAGACAGTTTTCTATTCTATCTTTGTCATGAATGTACCACAGTTCCTTTGGGGGACTTCTATTGGATAATCCATATATGAAAAGAAAGTAGATTAAATAGAAAATAATAATAATGATAATAATAATAAAATCTATGCTGCAATCATGTGCCTTCAATCAGATGATCTGAGTGGAGAAAATCTGTTCAAACCATATGGTAAAAAAATAAATGGTTTGTTTCTATAGAAAGGAAATGTTACTGAATGGAAGAATTATTTTTGTTTATGTCGAGAGACTTTATATACATACGTCTGTGTGCATGAGTGCACTGTGTGTGTGTGTGTGTGTGTGTGTGTGTGTGTGTGTGTTTTAATAGATGTGTGCAAAGTTAAGGTTCTATTTGGTTAAAATTTGAGCATTACAGCCTGCTCAATTTTTACTATATATGCCAAGAACATGGATGGTTTGGGTTTTGATAAGATTTATTATATTTATTTCCCACTTTCCAGGTAGGGTTTATTCCCTCTCTATAGAGGAGAGAACTGAGTGTTAGACATTTGCTAACATCCCTACCCCACAGAGTTAATGGTACAGCTGAGATTTGAGTCTAGCAGTCCTATGAAGCTGGATTTATGTTTGGTTTTTCAATTTGATGTCTGACTGGTGTTTTCTGTTAGAGTAATGAAACTTGAAAGTGGTACGTTTGTCATTTTGAAACACTTATTTAATCCTGGTGCTGAGGGAGAACATGGCCAAATCCCCCTCCATATCAGTGGGGTATTGGTTCCAGGACTCCTGTCCTTACAGAGGTCCAAGGATATGCTCAAGTTCCTTAAATACTGACATATTCTTTGTGTATAATGTGTGCATGTTCTCCTGTGTTCTTTAAATCATCTTGAGACTATTAATACCTAAATAGTAGTTATGGTATATTGTTTGGGGAATGATAAGGAAAAAAATGTCAGTATATGTTCAATGAGACATCCTTCCATGATGTGTATTTCCAATTGGTGGAAGCAGAACCAGCGAAAGTCTGGGAGAAGCAGGTGGAAGCAGAAGTTGATGGGAAACTAGCTGCGGGCTTATGAAGCATAGGCCCGTCTGCAGCAGACCTCAAGTTCTTCCACATGGGTTATAAGTTAAGTAGTGTGTGTGGATTTAATGCCTAGGGCTCACTCCAATTTAACCAGGAAGTCTCTGGGGGAAGTTATGGAAGGGAGAGGAAATAAGCATGTCTAAAATTCATCAGAGGAATCTATTTAAGAGAGAAGACCAAGGGGGGGAAAAAGCACGTTTTGCATCTATCCAATATCATCATTGGAATGAAGTATGTGGAGTAATCCATATTACAATGTAGGTTTTGAACCTGTAGGTATGATTTATGGCCAGATTTTTACTGTGTTTAGCATCTTCATTTCAGAGATTGGTAGTGAGAGATGACTGCTCCCCTGAAAAGTTTATATTGTGAGGCTTTCATAAGTGCTAAAAGGTGGACACATGGAACTAAGATTAGACCCTTTCCTCATGGGTACAATTACCTTAGGACTATAAACAGAAGGTTGGGGCTATTTTTATTACCATAGATTCCATGTTGTCCTAAGTACATGCGCATTGAATAAAAAAATGTGTAGGTGAGCTTTAATGGGAAGGAAACACATTTTCTGGTTGTTTACAGGTGGTACCCAGGACTGACAAGGCACATGTCATATGTTCTGGCAGTCTTTTGGCTGCACATTAAAACCATATAGGAAGCTTTAAGATTAATGATCAATGACTGGATCCACCAGGGATTGCATCTTTTTTTCTTCTTCTCTTGTCTCTGGCACTTGGCACTGTGCCTATCATGTAATGAAGATTTAGTAAGTGTTTGTTGAATGAATGAGGGATGGAGTGGATTAGTTTAATGCATCGTTGCTCTTGATGGTTTTGATGGAGTCACATTTACACTGGTAAACATTGTTTCTGCCTTTCAGAATTAGTTTTTGAAAGAAAGGCTTGTGTTTCTAGGGAATTCTGGGAGTACCTAATATAAAATAATTACTCTAGCAGCCAGTTTACATAGCCCGAAATTCTTTGGTCTATCCATCCACTTATTTATCAAATGCAGTGTCTGGTGTGAGCCTGGCAATATGTTAGGCATTGTGAGCAAAAGATGTTGGATCTATTCTCGGCCTAGGTAACCTCACAGTGAGAATGGAAAGATGAGACCCGGAGCAGAAATACCTGCCCCAGAAGTCAGGAAGTGACTGTTGGCCTTACCTTTGCTTTCCCAGGAGTTTATACATTCTGCTGTGTTTATAGGTTATCTAGGATGACTCTATAACTGCTATCCAGCTCTTTGTCCAGGTGAAGTTAAGCTTGACCTTGTTCTGAAACCATGACCTTGATCATTGAGGACATAGTCAATGCAGGAACTGTCCAAAGAAGCAGCTTGTTCTCACATGGCTGTCCAGATGTGTCATATTTATCACAGCATTATTCACAATAGCCAAGTGGTATAAAGCCTAGGTATCCTACCAATCAATGGGTGAAGAAAATGTGATATGTACATATATATATCCATATCCATGTATATTCATATAAATTCTTCTGTATAAATCTATGTGGTCTTACACAGGAGGCTTAAATCATCTCACACACACACACACACACACACACACACACACACACACACAGAAGAATATTCTTCAGCCATTAGGAAAAATGAAATGCCATTTGTAAGAAAATAGAACAAGAGATCATCATATTATGAAATAGCCAAGCTCATAAAATTAAATATCTTTTCAACCATATGTGTATTGTAGGTCTAAAATAATAATTTAAAAAAGGTGTCTGTGGCTTACATATTCTTAAGACCCCAGCTACTCAAATCCTACAAATCCTAGCTACTCAAGAGGCTAGGGTCTTAAGAATCTGGTTCAATGACATCCAGGAAAACCTGTGAGATTCTTATCTCCATTTAACCACCAAAAAGCCAGAAGTGGAGCTGTGGCTCAAGTGGTAGAGTGCTAGCCTTGAACATAAAAGCTCAGGAACAGTGCCCAGGCCCTGACGTCAATCCCCAGGACCACACACACACACACACACACACACACACACACACACACACACACGCACACACACACGCATGCACGCATGCACACACACACACAGGCACAACAGGCACACAAATAGTGGGATCTGAGTGCAAAAATAACAGGGCTGAAAGGGATGGGTGGAGAACTGGAAAGAATTTGGTATAAGGGAAAAGATCAAAGGGACAAAGGGGCTTTCTGTGCATATATATAATAGAGGGTGTGAACTTGCTCAAAGTATACTGTATGTATATATAGGGAGTTTATACACAGAGCAGCCTATGCTATCAATGCATATAAATAAAAAAGAAAGAAGGAAAAAGTCATAGTAAGGTATGGAGCTGGGTGTGGCGGCACCTGTTTATAATCCCAACCATTGCAGACCTGGAGGTAGACAGACAGTAGTCCTTTAGACCAGTGGTCATCTTGGACAAAAACATACAACTTTATCTAAACAAGAGACTATAGCAAAAAAGGATTGGGTGTATGGCCCCAGTGGTTGAATGGAAGACCTTGAGTTCAACCCAGTACCCTCCAAACAAAGAGAAAATAAAAAGAGGAAGGCGTGTAATTGCTGGGCTGTGACATGTTTTTCTCTTAGCTAAGGAGACATGTTTTATTTTTATTTTTGCAGGAGTAGGGACTGAACTTAGGCCCTTATTCATGCTCAGTAAGTGCTCTGTCACTGTACCTTACCCATGATCCTCTAAAGATTAATTTAATTATCATTAGGCTATACTAGGTTCCAGTTCTGTTTGACATGGAGAGAGATGAGGAAAGACAATGGAGACAGAGAATGCAGGAGCTGGAGACTGGAACCGATATGGACTGAGTAAGCCATCTGTGTGTATCTTAACATATACTGTCCTTTTGCGGGAGTGTGCTTACCATGTATTTGAACTTCTAAAGCACAGGGCCATCTCTTGTTAAGCAAGAGACCTTGGGATCAGAAGGTAACAGATGCCTCCCTCATGGATAAGTGGTAACAGATTCTGGAGTTTCATACCTCAGGAGTTATGCTCAGGAATCTATTAACTAGCTGTCTACCTGATTTTGATGCACAGCCAAGTTTGCAATCTTTTTAAACTGGTGGAAACTGAGTCCTGGGGATCCTATTGTTCTAGCCTAAGACATCACTATTCTCTGTAGCAGAAAGGCGGTTGTTGAGTGGTACATTCTCTTAATTCATTAGGGTGTACTTCACACAAACATGCTTGCTTTCTGTGAAAAACACCAAGCCTAGCTGCCTCCAGTTCTGGAGAAAAAGCAGTTCTAGAGGTTTCCTTATTTCCTTTATTGCCTCCCCCGCCTCCCTCCCCCCAGCCCACCTTCATGTGCAGGGCCTGTACATGTACATCGAGGCTCAGTAGGCCTCCCATGCCCAGGCTTCACAGAGAGTCTGAACAGAACTTCAGATCCATCCAGTAGAGGCAGATACAGAGCATTTCCTAGAGAAAATCTTTTCTGGATTCCCGTGGCCCTGGGGATACAATGCTCCCTTTTGTGCTTGGACAAAGAAAATTCACACAGATGGGCAGGCGCTTTTGACATTAAAATTTAGATAGTCTAAGCATTTTAGAGGCTACAATTGCCCATTCATTGTGAACCTTCTTTCTGTCTATTGTCTTTGCTTGAAGGCAAAATGACCTTTCAGCATTTTCAGCCACCATGGCAGGTTGCAAACTCTTCCTGTGTGCCTGGGTCTGCAAAAGCGATGCCAGTCACCAGTAACCTTTTCCCTCCAGTTCTCTAGGCAGCTGCCAGGGGCCTACTGGACAGCTCATCAGGCCACTGTTCTCCACATAAACTCCTGATGACTCCAGCTGACTGTGGCATGAAGCCATACCCTTCCCTTCCGTGCCCTTCACCAGCCCGGTTCTTACCCTCTATTCAGGCCTATGGTTACTCCCAATGTGAATATCTCTGTCTCCAGCAGCTAAGGCAGCTTGGGACTTACTTCTGTTGTCAGAAAATTAGGTAGGCACTTATTAAAGCTAAGAAGGGTGTAGAAACAGCACCCCATTCTAAAGAGCGTGGGTGCTAAAGGAAGAGAAAATACAAAGCCATTGGCTCACAACTAGGCAATTTA